TGTGTTTGTTCTTGCTTGTTTGTTTAGTTGTGTAGTTAGTTTTTTTGGTTGGTGCTTTGAGCTAGTTGTTAGTTCTTGGTTGTTGGTTAGAAGTTGGTAGTTGTGTTTGGTTTAGAGTTTGATATGCTCATCATCTCCGTTGGTTAAATTCTTTGAATCCTTGTTTTGATATACTTTCTTGCTTGCTTTGATGCCTTGTGAATCCTTTGGGTTTGACCAAAAGAGAGTGTTCTTGACAATCTTGTCACATTGTTGTTCCTTTTACCGTTTGTTTTAATTCGTCGTACCCAAGCTTCGGGGACGAAGCTTCTTTGAAGGGGGAGAGGATGTAACACCCCGTAATCCAAATTCGATTAAGGGATTAATTAAGTAATTAATCCTAAACCAATTGGTAATTTAATTCTTTAAATTCCTGAAAATTCAATAGTCGGGGACTAGTAATTGACTAGTCAACCCAAAGTCAAGGTTGTACCTTAAGCTTTGTGAGTAGTTCCCTTGTTCCCTTACACCTCTTCATTTTAGTAAGGGTATTCATGACATTTCACCTTGTGTTAGTAATGCAAGCTAACCTAGTAGACACTCCTCATTCTTTCTCCTTACACTTTCCAAACTTAAGCTCTCCCTTCTCTCTAAAACTTAGATAGCTTTTCTTCCAAGCCAAGTTGGAGCTTTGTCAAATCTTCAAAGGTTGTCTCCAAGATTCTACCTTTCATACATTTGGGCATCTAAGAGGGTAAGATCTATATTCATCTTGTGTTTTTAGTGTTTTCTAAAGTGTCTTTCTTTAAAGATAGAATCTTTATGATATTTTGGTGTGTTCTTGAAGTGGGTTTGGAAGGTAAGCCTTATTAGGAGCTTTGTGAAGTGTTAAGTGAATGTTTTTGTCTACAAGAGGTAACCCATGCTCTAAAAAATCTATTTTGCTTACCTATATGATGATTTCTTGGATTCTACATGTGTTTTGCTATGAAATGTGAGTGTTTATGCATTGTCTTGTGAAAATGCATATCTAGAGCTTGTGTCTAGGGTTCTTGTATGCCATTGCTTGGCTATTCCTTTGATTCAAGTCATTTTGTTGTATTGGGTGAGATTTGGCATGTTTTGGACTTAAATTTGAGCTTGGTGTTGAAAATCCCCGAAGGGATTATTTTGGTGTACAGGAGTGTACCCGCGGGCGGAACGACGGGCAGTGGCCTACCCGCCTCCCTACCCGCGGGGTACATGTGGCTTGTGGGTGTGTACCCGCGGGCAGAACCACGGGTGGGGGTCTACCCGTAGGCCCACCCGCGGGGTACATGATGTGGTTGGTTGGGGATTTGTTCCCCGTGATTCTTTTGACTCGGTATTTGGTCTTTTGACTTCCCGATGTTCTTTTGTGGAACTATTTGAGTGTCTTCTTGATGTTTAGTATGTCTAGAACTATATGGTAGGGATCCATGTAGGTTTTGGTGTCTTGAATCGTGTTAAGTGTTCAACATTGTGATTCGTTGAACCGTGATGAGTCTTGTGTGTTCTTCGGAACTACGTTTGGTTTACCCGTTTGATGAGCATGCTAGTTCGGTGTTTAAATGCTAGCATGTGTGTTGTTTGTACCTTCCTATTGTTGATGATGACTTGTGTTATTCATCATTGTTGTTGGACTGTGATCCATTCCTTGATTGAGTATGGTTTCATATCTTCGTTGTGATCCGTTGATTGATTCCTGTTGAGGTGTGGTGTGTGTGGCTTTACCTGGATTGCATGATTTCGGTTTATGGGGCCTTAATCACCAAGGTACGGCAGTGGTCCTCGTGGTGGCCATGACGCGATTATGGAGTTTGTGACCTTTGTGTAAGGTTCACGTGTTTATTTATGGGATAACATGTGTTATCTAGAGCATGTGTTGCCGTGTGTGATCGGTACCCTCATGTACTATGAAATCGGTGGTTCTGTTGGAGGGACTGTTGGAGGGGGAACGACGGTTCCTAGGGGAATAAGGTTGGACTTGGTGTACAAGGGTCCTGGAGGTAAAGGTTGGAACTAGATATAAGGTTGGGGGTAGCCATAAGGTTGGAACCGGGCATAAGGAAGGCATATCAATTCGTGATGAGTGATGTCACGAAGGCTTGTGTAGCCGTGGTTGTGTATTTCTCTATTTATGACATGTGTTGTCACAAAGTCAATGTGTTGCCAATGGTTGTGTCCTTTCTCTTGTATCATGCATGTCGGGTGTTAATCTACGTACCGTGTGATGGTGGATTATGCCTTGAGCCGTTCTTTTGGGTTGTTCTTACTTCGTGTGGTCTTGGGATGTGTTCCCGTATTCTTGTTGTGAGTGCATTGAGTCTTGTGTTGAGTTCTGCTATTGGTTTTAAACTTATATATCTATATTCCGTTTCGCAAATGATTTTACGTACGTATATCCTATCTATGTATGATATTTCACATGTATTGGTGGGTTACCAGCATTATTATCTGACCGGGCGTCGTCCCATCTTTTATGTGTTTCTTTCAGGTGATGTGTATACGTGAGCGCGGTCTAGAACCTGTTAGAGTAGATCCCCATGTTTGAGTTGTTATGGCCTGTGTGCCAATGATAGACTTTAGTACTTTGGTTATGTATGGATTTTAGATTGTGAATTATGCAGATGTTTAGCCTGTGCGTTCACCTCTGGGTGAGTGTGGCATAGCACCCTTTTCATTTCCAGTTTATTTAATCTTTGTTAGTCTTCCGCTGTGTTTGATGTTTTGTTTAGTTATCTGCATGTTTAAGGCTTAATTCTGTATGGAAATTAGAGGGTGTTACATTTAGACCAAGCCTTTTTGTATCCGCTATATTTTTGTTAAATCTCTACTCAAGCCCTAATTATTATTATTATTATTATATTAATAATAATATAATTTAGGGATTAGGAAGGTAGAAAGGAAATTGGAGGCGGCAGTAGTGCTTTTGCCTTAATTGTAAAAGGGAAACAAACTTCATTTTTATTTCATTCCTATTATATATGCATATATGTTATGTTATTAGGAATTATGGAATGTTGATGAGGCGGTAGTTTCCAATGGGAAAATGAATTCAATTTTCCTTTTCTTGTTTCTCTTCACCAATATATATATGGAGGGACAAGCAAATGGATCCACCAAGTATGGTACACCAAGCACTTATATATATATTAGTAGTTGGCAGCAAAGTAATGGCCTAATGGGTATGATGGGGAAATTTTGGCCACAAATATTGCCAATAACCGTATGGGGTTCGGTTGGTGTGTTTTGGACTGGGAAGGTGCGGTGCTGGGGGTGGTTATGTCTACCAAACAAGGCTTGTACAAGGTTCAGGAGGCAGAAGCGATTGGGGCTAGGGAGGCTTTGAGTTGAATAAAGGAAATGGGGGTGGCAGAGAGTGGTGTAAAGGACGGATGCCCAGATTGTGACAAGAGCAGTCACGGAAGGGACAAACGTGTCACCGTTTGGCTCAATCGTTGACGAGATTCGTGAGTTATTGGATCAAATGCTTATGGTCTCTTTTTGTTATGTGCAACGACGGAACAATATGATGACTCATTATCTAGCTAAAAGAGCTCTTAGTTATATTAGGGAAGAGAGAATTGAGTGGTTCGATTTTATCCCGCGTTTTCTTTGTGCTTCTCTTCGTAACAGTTAAATTAAAACTCTTTCTTAATACATGTTTTGTTGGCTTTCAAAATATATATATATATATATATATATATATATATATATATATATATATATATATATATATATATATGGAGGGATTATGGATGGAATGACTTGACCAACTAGACTTGGCTAGTCCTATGAGGACATTCTTCACTACTTTCGGCGACATGACGGCAGCATGTTCGGCAGGTTTTGTCATACGTTTGATAGATTTGTCATGAGGTTTGCCCAGGTTCTTGCCGAGGTTTCGAGGTTCTTGGGTGGTATCTTCATCAGATATTTTGAGAGGGTCAGCTTGTTTGTTCCAGGCATCTTTGGATATTTCTTAGTATTCCTTTTTAGGCATGTGGAATATAATAGAAGTCTTTGGCCTAGAGTTGATGTATTTTGATGATTTAGTTGATGTTTGGCTCGTGTGGTAGCCAGAAACTTTGTACCCAAGATTTATTATAGTGGAATAGTTGGTGGTGGTGGTCCCGTGGTTTTTCCCTGTAATTTTGGAGTTTTCCACGTAAATCTTGTGTGCCTTCCGTTGTTATTTAATTTTGGGCTGATTTTCATTGTCGGAGGTGAGATTTTTCCCAACAGACCCAAATTAGAAGTGGACCGCGCACATATATTTGTATCACAAAATAGCCACTCAAAAATGTCATTTTAGCAAAATATTCCAACATAAATAAGTGATGAAGTTCTTAATTTTTTGGAGAAATAAAAACAATAATACGTTTAATTGTACTTTTTTTTTCAATTTCTTCAATATCACTTTGATTTATGGAAAAGTTCACAATCACTACATAACTACTTGAATATGCATTGTAATGATAAATTAATTTATATTGTCCATAATGAATCATTTTAAATATTAAAAAAAATCAATACACAACTTTTACGAACTGTTACGTTCATTTTAGAACAATATCAAACTAAATTATTCTTGCATGTGAAGCACACTACAAGCACCAGACCGGTTTGGGTCACTGGCCCTCTGACTTTCTTCTGATTTTTATAACAAGAAAACGTGTTGTCAGTTGTCACACACAACGGACACAAAGACAAAGACGTGTAAACTGATGATAGATACAGTCTGGCCACAAGACAAATTAACGTAACGAGGGTTGACTTAGGTGGTGCATTATATGATGAAAAATATTTGGTGTACTCTCAAACCCTCAACTTGTACTCCCTCTTATATGCTTTTGATGTAGACACTTGTTAGTGGACCTACATGATGAAAATAACTATCCTGATTTGTCACCTCAGGGAGTATAAATGAGGGAGTAAATTTTGGGAGTCTATGTAGTAGAAGTCTTATGTGATACCGTAAAAGTCTCTCAACAGTACTCCGTCTGAAGCAAATACAGCGAGAGAGAGAGAGAGAAATGGCTTGTGTTCCTCTAACTTCTCTGATGAATACAATCCACTTTGAGTTCTTACAACCCTGCAGAGCACCTGTGATTCTTGATGAAGATACAGCACATATGGTTAGTTCTCTCCACCATAATCTTGGTTTCTTGCTCACCTTTCTCAAGGACTTAGTGAAGAAACCAGGGATAGATGAAGCTGCAATCAAAGATTTGGAAGCCAAAATCAGAGACTTCGCCTTTTTAGCAGAAGATGAAGTTGAATCAAATCTGGCAAAGATATATATGGAGGCAGCAGATAAAGAGATGATACTCTTTCAGAACCTACAACAAGTAGGTGAAGATGCAGAGATGATACTCTTTCAGAACCTACGACAAGTATCTGAAAAAACTCAAAATTTCGTCAACACAATTAAAAGCCAATACTATGATTCTGCCGTCCAAAATTTGCCAAAGGTATCACAACAGTCTTTTCTTACTGAATTAGCATGCAGTAACATTATATTGATGATACATTATTTCATAATTTACAACTCTTTAAGGATAAAGTCAAATGTGGAAAGTAGCTAAGGTTCGGAGCTAAGGTTTGAACTAAGTTTGCATTAAAGAATGAAAAATACTTCATGTACTTCCAAAAATATACTCCCAACTTTTACTCCACTTGTATTCAAATTTGATTAGAGAAAGAAAAAAAAATTGATAAAATCATGACCCCCTACTAAATTAAGCAATCTAGACATGCCAAGTCATATAGAGTAGAAAATAGGAGTAGGATTTGAGAGTTCAAGTACTCTTAAAAAATTGTGTAAGGAGTAAATTTGCATTAAATGTTTGCAAATATATCGACACACAAATCTAAGGCTAATATTCATTTGAATTTGCAATAAATAGACAATCCCTTCTGTAAATCATCTCATCCCATTAGCATAGCAATGTATCCCAGAGTTATATTTGTAATTTCTATCGTAATATTTTTTACCAATACAGAAAATTCTTTTCAAAATTGTCTTATTGTGTATATGCTGATTTATTCTAAATCTTATAGTAGAAATATTCTCAATATTTTCAGTCCAAGTTGTTATTGTAATTAGGTGTTGTGAACTCGATCCTAACATCCTCTATAGGTACATACCCTTCCGTTAGATATTGGTTCAGACGACAAGCGCGGATCTCCACAGCGGTTCTCAAAGATTGAGGACAGAATGGTTGGGCGTACAACTGAATTAAATACAATAATGAATCAGCTCATTGGTCATCCATGGAAAGTCATTTCCATTCTCGGGATGGGCGGGATTGGTAAAACTACTTTAGCCAAATAAATTTACGAAGATCCATTAGTGGTATCCCACTTTGACCTTCGTGCTTGGACTAGTGTCTCTCAAGAAGTTAACTTGAGACAAATTCTCTGCAACCTTCTTTGGTCCATTGAGAGAGGAATGAATACTGACGGAAGCATAGATGATCTAAAAAACAAACTACGACAACGTTTGATGAGTCGTCAGAGGTATCTGATTGTGGTGGATGATGTATGGGAAACCGGTGTTTGGGATCATCTCACCGGATGTTTTCCTAAAAGTCATGAAAGTGCAGTATTAGTGACCTCTCGGCTAAAAGAGATTGCAAACTACACTAAATCAGGTTCCAGCAATCTTATTCACAACTTGCATTTTCTCGATTCTAATGAAAGTTGGGATCTATTTTGCAGTCACATTTTCTTGAAACAGCCCTTGCACTCTAAGTTCAACACAGTTGGAAGGAATATTGTTGGCAAGTGTGGGGGGCTTCCCATGGCAATTGTTGTAGCTGCTGGACTTGTATCTCGACTCAGCAAAGTTGAAGAATTGGAAAAGATTGACAAAGAAATAAGCTATCTTGCTAGTACAGATATTGGTGAACAATGTTCAAGAATTCTTATGGTAAGTTATAACCATTTACCTCAGCATTTGAAAGCTTGCTTTTTATATTTAGGAGTTTTCTCAGGCCATAGTGAAATTCCTGTTAAAAAGCTTGTTAGGTTATGGATTGCTGAGGGGTTTGTGAAGAAGTCAGTGAGGGATAAGGAATTGGAAGAAGTGGGTGTTGGGTATTTACAAGATATTATTAGTAGAAGCCTAGTCCAAATTGATAAGCTTAAATGTGATGGCCAAATCAAGACATGTAGGATGCATCATCTCCTGCGTGTACTTTGTGTGAGACAAGCAAGAAACGAAAAACTTTTGTATGTTGAAGACGATGGTTTTGATATGTGCAACAACATCTCCAAAGAAGCATGTGGTATTTGGGGTTGGCTTTGTTTTAGATCATCAAAGCATAAGCGTTTTGATATGTACAACAACAACTCCAAAGAAACCTGCAGTGGTGCTTGTCGTTGGCTAAGTTTTAGATCAACAAAGCCTATGAATTTTGATTTGTGCAACAGTAGTGTCAATAAAGCCCGTTCCGTTTTTTGTTTGCATAATGATGAGATGCCAATGGTGAATGATCCAAAGCTTGTAAGATTCAACTTGTTAAGAGTTCTGGAATTCACTTCTCCTTTATACAACAAGGGAGTGTATATGTGTTTTGAAAACCTTTCCAATCTAGTTCTTCTTGAATACCTAGCTTTTATGTTCAATAGGTCTTTGGGCTCCGAGGGTCTTGACATTGTACAGTCTAAGAATCAAAAACTGCACACACTTGTTGTTTGGCATAGTGCAGCTGACTACTGGAGACGGAATTATTTCCTCTTGCCCTCCACAATTTGGGGGTCACCACAACTAAGGCATCTCGAGTTTAGAAATTGCTTTAGAGTAAAGCCTCCAAGCATAGTGAAAGAGAACTTGCAAAGTTTGTATTGGTTGAGCATATTTCATTGCACAGAGGAAGTTATTTTGAAGATTCCCAACATAAAAACATTGGGGATTTTTCGTGAAGGTAGATTGATTCCTGACAATGGTGCTACTTGCAGCTTGGAAAATCTATGTCATTTGAATCTACTTGAGGCTTTAACTATTGAAGCTGAGTATGCCATTCCTGAGCGTATATCTCTTCCGGGTATAAATGCATTCCCCTGTAACCTTAGGAAGCTGAAATTAAGCAAGACTTATTTGCCATGGAACAATTGTGCGTATATCTCTTCCGGATATAGCAACAATTGTGTTGTTGCCTGGACTAGAGGTGCTCAAACTAAAAAGGGATGCTTTTTATGGGCCTGAGTGGGAACCAACTGAAGGGGGATTCCAAAAATTAAAGTTTTTGTTGCTTGAAAATACAGATCTAAAGATTTGGAATGCCTTTGACAATGAGTTTCCTATCCTTGAGCACTTGGTCTTGAAGCATTGTGAGAACTTGGAAGGGATTCCAAATGTTTTCTCCAATGTAACCACTCTCAAATCAATTGATTTAGAAAGGTGTGGCCAAGCCCTTTCGAGTTGTGCCAAGAATATCCAACAAGAGCAGCTCGATTATGGGAATAATGAGCTAAAAGTTCTGGACCGTAATCCTCAGGTCTGCACTTCCTTCTACACTTGGCTAAACTTTTAATTATAATATCATGTTAGATTAAGTAATTCTAAATTTACAAATGCAAGATAATATAGTCAAGATTGATTATAATTGTCAATAAAATAATTGTATAGGTATGATTATTAAAATCAAATACGGGACATAAGAGAGAGCAAATAAAAATTAGGGCATAAAATATTAAATATATACTAATATTGAAGAGCTTACTGTTGCCAAACAAGGACATTGCGAGGTAGTTTTCACTCCAATTTGTTGTGTGATTTGAATACTCTTTTTGTCAATAAATCCTCCAAGTAGTTAATATTTTGGCTTAATTATATATATATATATATATATATATTTGTTGTGTGATTTGAATACTCTTTTTGTCAATAAATCCTCCAAGTAGTTAATATTTTGGCTTAATTATATATATATATATATATATATATATATATATATATATATATATATATATATATATATATATAGGGTCAGGTTCCTGTGAGGTCAGGTCTTCCCGTGCGGTCAGTGCGACATACACCATTAGGTATGCATAAATGCACCACACAGTGTTCGTAAATAAACCATTATGTGTGGTGTATTTTTTTTTTGTGTAGTGTATTTTTTGGCATTTCATTCTGGTGTATTTTCGAACACTATATGGTGCATTTATGCATACCTAATGGTGTATGCCGCACTGACCGCACGGGAAGACATGATCTCACAGGAACCAAAATATATATATATATATATATATATATATATATATATATATATATATATATATATATATATATATATATATATATATATATATAATTATTATCATCATCATCATCATCATCATCATCATCATCATCATCATCATCATCACCATCATCATTATTATACCCTTAGGTCTTGTACATGTTAATCTAAATAACTAATTTTTTCAAATATTTTTTTACCAACTATATATTATTTTTAAATATATATACCCTTAGGTCAAATATATACCCTTAGGTCAATTGCCTTTTTGCCTAGACTAGAGGTTCTCAAACTAAAAATGGATGCTTTCTATGGGCCCGAGTGGGAACCAACTGAAGGGGGATTTTGTCGACTAAATTTTTTGCAACTTGAAAATTCAGAACTCGAGATTTAGAATGCCTTTGATGATGAGTTCCCTATCCTTGAGCACTTGGTCTTGAAGCATTGTGTGAACTTAGAAGGAATCCCAACTGTTTTCTACAATGTAATCACTCTCAAATCAATTGATTTAAAATGGTGTGGCCATGCCCTTTCTAGTTGTGCCAAGAATATCCAACAAGAGCAGCTCGATTATGGGAATATAATGAACTAAAAGTTCTTGACCGTAATCCTCAGGTCTGCACTTTCTTCTACACTTGCCTAAACGTTTAATTATAATATCATGTTATGATTAAGCATTAATTAGTTAGATCAATCTCACAAATTTTTTTTTCTCTGTTGATCGAATGCAGACCACTCATAAGCAACTCACAAGATTTAAAGTTCCAACCAAGGTCTTCATCAGCAAGTAATTTAATTAACCACCTGTGATATTTACTTTCAGTGTATATTAGACACAATTGCAAAAATCCCGCATAGACGCCGATTAATCAGCATCTAGGTGCTAGCCACTGACCAGCCACCTAGCGTATCATCGTAATCGGCCGACCAGCTAAGCTACCGACTAGGCCGCCTAAGCACCACCTAGGGCGTTTAGGTGCTGACGGCTTACGCTTCCTAGTCGGGCGATTAGCTATTATTCTTTATTTTTTTTAATGTGTTATTTTACTCATAACAACATCGTTTTGAGCAAAATAACTCTAAATTATTCAAACATAAATGCTTTTTAGGTTAATATTTAATATTTTAGTATTAACTATTAATCAAACACTGATATTGATTGTTTAACCAAGTCAAACAGCTAATAGTGGTCAAATAAGTCAAAATTGACTGATAAGCTAACTATTTTACCAAATAGGCCATTATATTTTGCAAATTAAAAAAAAAAAATAACTAAGCAAAAGAAGTGATGAAGAGAACGAAACACAACATACTGAAATGACAACACAAAGAGGGCGGCATTGCTCCAACTCAATCAAAAGCAAAAATTGGAGGCGTTTTGCAATGCGAGCTGAGGAAGGATCTCTTCTAGAGAAGAACAACGTTTTAAGAATAGATCCCTGAACTTTGGGAACTAATGACTAACTTTGCACACCCATCGCTCAAGACTTGTGGCTTCAAGCTCCAATTCTTTTAATACACCAAATCTTCCTTTAACTACTTCCCACACCTTGCCATACAAAGCATTTTCTAGTTTCAACACCCTAAGTCTGGGCATTTGCCCAATTACCCTTAAAACCTTCACCTTAGTCCCACTCAACCTCATCTCAACTCCTTCAAACTTACAGGAAAAACAAGCTGCTCCAAAAGGATTATATGACCAACTGGAAAGATAACCATTAGAGTCTCCAGCCTTAATAAATCCTCAAAATTCTCCAGAATGATGATGGGATTTCCGCAAGATCCAAGGGTACAGTACAACCGGCCTCAAAGAAATCATTATAGAGAATTTTCAGGTTTTTTTTAATTTTAGTTTATTAATTTTTTTTATCCTTGGAAACCTGCAATAATACACTTCTTTCCTGGAATGAATTATCACACAAACTAACGTTTGCAAATACTCTTTAACCATGTTTGGAGGATCTACCATATACACATCCCCAAGCTCAAAATGCCTTAAATATTGCAACTCCCCAAATTTTGGATGACAAATGAGGAGTAGGTGTTCCCAGGGACGGAGCCAGAAATTTGGTTGAGGGGGGCGAAACAGTACAGACGGATTCAGAAAATTTTTCGAGAAAAGGCGAAACATTAAAACAAAAGAGATAATTTAAAAATAAATAAATAAACTACCTAAGAAATATAATTGTAAATATTGTTGGATATGGACGAAAAATAAAACACATCGAAACTTTATAAAAATATTCATAACAAAATATGAAACATAATTAATAAAATAATTTGAATAGAAAACACATTATAAATTACACATCTTATTATAGAGTGTGTGTGTAATATTAAAAAAGCTATTAAAAAATAATTGTAAAACTATGTTGATGATAAGATTAGAACCCTTAACCTCATTATTACCAAAGATGTGCTCTACCACCTACTCTAACTCACTTGTTATTAACATTTTATAATTTTTTTATACTAATACTAAAACATGTACTATATATACATATATACATACAAATACTATATATGGGGTGGGGGTGGGGTGAGGGGGGTAACCGCCCCCCTGCCCCCCCTCTCCCTCCGTCCCTGGGTGTTCCAATTGTTAATTGATCAAACCCTAAAAACAATAAGTGTTTGCAAATTCGAATCATTTAATACTACATCATCAGGATTGCCAAATCAGTGTGTTACGGATAGATATCTTAAAAAAAAAAAAAAACTAAATACCTCAAGCGCAATGGCGCCACTCTTTTGAGTACTAGAGATTGACTGAAATAAAAAAATTCTTAAATGTTTGAAAGTTATAAACATTTCAAAATCTCCCTAAAAGAAGAAAAGGAAGTGAGGGATATTTGCCAGTATGTCTAATGGTCATCCAATACATTGTCAAAATTATGTGAGCGTATTCACTAAATAATACATGATAGTCAAAATTATGTGAGCATAAACTTAACCATCAACATGAATTTGCCAGTATGTCTAATGGCCATCCAATACATTATCGAGTATTTACTGCACATAAAAGACCATGTTTTTGAGCTTTTCGTACGCAAAATCTATGCATGTCAATATGTATCCAACAAGTCTTTGGCTTGAAATTTTTGCCATGTCACTAGTATAGAATCAGCAATCTGCGTATGAAGTAAATGACAATCTACGTCTGATATACACCAAACGTATATACCGCATTCGCAGATTAGTTAAACAATCTGGGTCTAATCAGGTCTAGAATCAGACGCAAATTGTTATTTATAAAAAAAAAAAAAAAAAAAAGAAATTCTTGCCTTGACAATCTGCGCTTGTTCCTGACCAGGTTGTCCTTTTTTTATTTGATAAAACTACTTTTTTGAATGCTAACTCTATTACATGTAATATCTGTTCAAAACTACTGAAGCACAAAGAGCCAATAACGCCTTCACTGAGCTCAAACTCACAACCTCCCATATGGGAGTCCAACCTGGTTGCCATTAGACTACAAGATCCTGGCTATTTGATAAAACTACTAATTACTCTATTTACAGCAACAACAATAATAATAATATCCTTAGAAACCAACCTTAAGAGCAATTGAGTTTGGCAAATCAAAGCCTTGCCAGAGTACTGGCGACCTCATCCAAATAAGAGACGCTCTCTGCTTCACAGAGGTTCAACAACTACGTAAATGCTGTGCATGTTTAACGGAACATCATTTATTCACACTTAAGATTCATGTTTAAGAAAAAGTGCAAGTCTCCAACAATAGACTTACAATCATTCTTACTCGATAAATGCATATTATTGTAAAGAGAATCACAAACCACCAATTAGGCTATCATTTCCATTGAAAAACCATAGGATGCAGAGTACTACTAAATGAATAACAGCTAAAAGCTATCAACAGATGCTCAATCATCAGCAAAACCACCATCCAACACAACTGACAAAATGATCAGCAAACTAACTTCTGAGCTCAACAACTAACCATCTGTTAGAATAGCTAGAGTTAGTTTGTTTAGTTGGTTAGATAGAAGCTGTATATAATCTTTTCCCCTTTCTTTGTAATAGCATTGAGAAAAAGAGAGAAAGTGAACACATTTCTGTGTTGAGAGGTTTTCTGCAAACACTTGGAATTCAATGGAACAGTGCTTTTCTTCTTCTTGATTTCTGACCTTGTTCTTCTTGTTTTCTACTGCTTCTACTGAATTCTTGATATGGTATCAAAGCCATAAATGGCGTGGCGTCCACCTACTGTAAACATGGTTCAACAGGGAGCTTCAATTCCAGCTCCGATTCCAACCCCAACATCAAATCAGAACCCTAATTTTGCTTCCACTTCAAATGGGAACTTTGACCCCAATGATTAGACGATTCCTCTCCATCTCCATGCGAATGAAAGTCCTACCCTACAGTTGGTGACGACTCAGTTGGAGGGGAGATCAAACTACCATTCTTGGGCAAGAGCCATGGAAATGGCATTAAGATCCAAAAACAAGATGACCTTTGTGAACGGGCTTGTAGCTGCTCCAAACATGCTTGATCCAAAGTTCTATTACTGGGACAGATGTAATACTATGCTGTTATCCTGGATTTTGAGGGTTGTATCTCTCACCATAGCTAGTAGTGTGCTATGGATCAACACAGCTGAAGGGGTATGGAAAGACCTGAAGAAGAGGTTCAGTCAGCAAGATGCATTTAGGATTACTGAAATTCAGTCACAGATTCACCATACTAAGCAAGGTAATTCAACTGTGAATGAGTATTTTACAAAATTGAAGTTATTATGGGATGAGTTACTTGTTCTAAGACCTATTCCTAGTTGTGAGTGCTCCCCTAATTGTGCATGTGGAAATAGTCTGTCTGATAAAGTGAAGGCACATTTGGAAATTGATATGCTATCTGCTTTTCTCATTGGCTTGAATGACAATTACACAAGCACTAAGAGGCAAATCATGCTAATGAAACCTCTTCCTGATGTTGGTGAGGCCTTCTCTATGGTCTCACAACAAGAGAGACAAGTGAACATTGAAGCTACCAATCTGGAAGACAGTGTAACAGGAGTAAATGTTTTCTTTACAAAAGCAGATAACAGTGGTAGAAGATCTTTTCCCAATCAAAAACAGAAACCTGTATATATGTAGCTATTGTGGATATAAATGACACACAATTGAGAAATGCTACAAGAAGCATGGATATCCTCCAGGTTGGAAACCAAGAAGCAAAGGGATGGGTTCAACAAATCAAGTTCAAGGTTCTGTGCAAGAAAGTAACAGTACAGAATCCAACCCCCCTTTTACTCAAGAAGATTGCAGAAGATTCTTTGAGTTTATGCAACAAGGGAGAACTAAGGCAAATACTCCTCTTGACCTTAGCCCTCAAGTCAACACTATAGCAGCCAATTTCATCCCTAATGCTCAGTTTGAAGGTAACACTGATAACTCTAAATCAGAATGGACTATTGACAGTGGTGCTACACATCATATAGTATGTAGTGAACATTTACTTCATTCATCTAAAAGGGTTCAAGGAATTCATGTGGATTTGCCAAATGGGCATTATGCAGAAGTATCACATATTGGATCTGTCCTGTTATCTACTGATTTAATCTTGAAGAATGTTCTATGTGTTCCCATATTTCACTATAATCTTATATCTTTGGGGGAACTTGTGAGAGGATCAAACTATAGTATTGTCTTCCAATCTGACTAGTGTACAATACAGGATCAACACCATGGGAAGATGATTGGTGTGGCTAAGCTGAAGAAGGGACTCTACCACCTCACCTTTCCTACTTCTGCTCAAAACAAATCTATTGTTTTTCCAGCTGTCAATACTTGTAGTTTCTGGCATGCTAGGCTAGGGCATGCTTCTGAAGGAAAAATAAAAGCTCTTCATGCTTTAGATAATAGGATTTGTAATGACAAACCTGTAGCTTGTGAATGTTGCCATATAGCCAAACAAAAGAGGTTACCCTTCCAATCTAGTACATCTGTTGCAATTTACTGCTTTGATCTTATTCACATGGATATATGGGGTCCCTTTCATGTCCCAACCATTTATGGGCATAAGTATTTCTTAACTATAGTAGATGATCACAGCAGTGCCACTTGGACCTATCTAATGAGGAGCAAAAGTGAAGTAAGACCGATTTTTCAAAATTTCTATGAATTGATCAGCAAACAGTTTGGAAAGGGAATCAAATGTGTCAGATCTGATAATGGAAAGGAATTTCAAATGGAAGATTACTACCAGAAAAAGGGAATAATTCATCAAATATCATGTGTTTATACCCCTCAGCAAAACAACATTGTGGAAAGAAAACATGGGCACATCCTATCTATGGCAAGGGCACTAAGGATCCAAGCTAGTCTTCCTGAAGAGTTTTGGGGTGATTGCATCCTACATGAAGTGTATATGATAAACAGACTTCCATCAGTAGCTCTAGATAATCAAATCCCATATCAGATTCTCTTTAATAAAGCTCCACAGTATCAACAACTTAGGGTGTTTGGGTGCCTAACCTTTGCTAGCATCCCCAGCTGTCAGAGAAACAAATTATCCCCAAGGGCCAGGAAGTGTATTTTTCTGGGATTTGCTAATGGGGTTAAAGGGTACAAGTTGCTTGATTTTAACACTAGATAAGTTTTTCTATCCAGAGATGTCTCTTTCTATGAGAACATCTTTCCCTTTCAAAATTAGCAAACTGAGCAGCCATCCAACTTGGTTCTACCCTCAGATGATGTGTCATACTTAAACTATGATGAAGACACTGTCTTGCCTCACATTGAAGCCCCAGCTGCTCCACAAGGCACATCTGAGGTCCCTCCTGTTGTTCAAGACAATACAACTCCCTCACCAGAGCCAAGACGATCATTAAGAGCAAGAGCCAGGCCTGCTTATCTTGGTGATTATGCTTGTCAGAGTGTCATAAGCAGAACATCTCCACATTCCATTTCAAAGTTTCTGTCTTATGATAACCTATCACAAGCCTATAGGGTCTTTGCTGTGAATGCTCTAAATGCTAGAGAGCCAAAGACCTACAATGAAGCAATCAAGAGTGAATGCTGGAAAGAAGCCATACAGTCAGAAATAAATGCATTACAGGCTAACAAGGATCCTCACTGATCTCCCTTCTTCCAAGGTGCCTATAGGGTGCAAGTGGATGTTCAAAACAAAACTTAAAGCTGATGGAACTATTGAAAGACATAAGGCTAGACTTGTGGCAAAAGGATACACTCAGACACCTGGCTTGGATTATCTAGATAATATCAGCCATGTGGCAAAAATAACAACAATCAGAGTATTGCTTGCTGTGGCTGCCATCAGAGGATGGACAATCCACCAACTAGATGTGAATAATGCCTTCCTACATGGAGACCTAAAAGAAGAAGTCTACATGACATTGCCTCCTGGTTTCTTATCCCCAAAACCAGGCTAGGTGAGCAAGCTAGTCAAGTCCCTTTATGGACTAAAACAAGCCAGCAGGCAATGGAATATGAACCTGACACAAGAGCTTCTGAGCATGGGTTTTAAGCAAGCTGTATCTGATTCCTCTTTATTCACAAAAGGGAAAGGTAATGATTTTGTAGCCTTACTTGTATATGTTGATGATGTGGTTATTGCCAGCCCTTGCATAGATCAAGTACAAGTAGTCAAGCAACATTTGGATGATGTTTTTCATATCAAGGACTTAGGTCCCCTAAATTTCTTTCTAGGATTGGAAGTGGCCAGAAGTAGCAAAGGGATCAGTGTAACTCAAAGAAAATATACCCTGGAATTACTTGAAGAGACTGGCTTCTTGGAATGCACACCAGCCAAAACTCCTATGGCAACATCATCCAGACTCAATAGGACTACTGGCAACACACTTGAGAACATTACTCAATACAGAAGGCTGGTGGGGAAATTATTGTATCTTACAATCACAAGACCAGATATATGCTATGCTACACAACAACTATCTCAGTTTCTAGATTGTCCTACTGATGAACACTTGCAGGCTGCACACAGGGTACTAAGATATGTCAAAGCAGCCCCTGGCCAAGGTCTGTTCTTCTCAGCATCATCATATCTGTTGATTAAAGGCTTCTCTGATTCTGATTGGGCTGCATGCCCAGATACTAGAAGAACTGTAACTGGTTTATGCATATTCCTTAACAACACCTTGGTGTCCTGGAAGTCAATGAAACAGCATACCATATCCAGAAGCTCATCTGAGGTTGAATATAGGGCACTTGCATCTGCAGCATGTGAAATTCAATGGTTAGTCTACTTGCTACAAGACCTGGAGGTCAACATTGATTCCCCAGCCATGTTATATTGTGACAGCAAATCAGGCATAGCAATAGCTGAAAATCCAGTCTTCCATGAGAGGACAAAGCACATTGAAATAGATTGCCACCTTGTAAGACAGAAGCTGCAGAGACAACTTTTGAGGTTATTGCATGTCACCACCACCACCAACCAACTGGCTGATGTATTTACTAAGCCCCTTGTTGTTAATCCTTTTTCCAGTTTCATCTCCAAGCTAGGTCTACATTGTCTGTACACTCCAGCTTGCGGGAGGGTATCAACAGATGCTCAATCATCAGCAAAACCACCATCCAACACAACTGACAAAACGATCAGCAAACTAACTTCTGAGCTCAGCAACTAACCATCTGTTAGAATAGCTAGAGTTAGCTTGTTTAGTTTGTTAGATAGAAGCTGTATATAATCTTTTCCTCTTTCTCTGTAATAGCATTGAGAAAAAGAGAGAGAAAGTGAACACATTTCTGTGTTGAGAGGTTTTCTACAAACACTTGGAATTCAATGGAACAGTGCTTTTCTTCTTCTTGATTTCTGACCTTGTTCTTCTTGTTTTCTACTGCTTCTACTGAATTCTTGATAAAAGCATACTCAATGAATTCATTCAGCTTTGAGTGCAAAGCCTCTGATTTTGATTTGCAGATGTGGGATTGGAACACCACCATTGCTGTATTCCTTCTTCAGAAAGGCTTCTAAAGAAGAAAGCTTCTCAATCACAGATTTCAATGGATTTTCATCAAAAAGAGACACTATGTGGTTAGGTTGAAGGAACTCAAGCTGAATTGTTGCCATGAGAGAAGTCAATGCAACACAAGCCATCTCTCTCACCTCTCACTCTCTGTAACTTCTGGTTTTTTGAGTAAGAAAAGAATGTAGAAGACTAGAAGTGCATTTGCACATAAAATAAAAATATGATACAAGTGCTTTCAGCTCCTCAATAATGGCAACTGCATAGTCCTTTCTCTGCATTGGATTCTTTCCCTTTCCTAGTAAAAACCAGAAAATAAAATCATGAATTATTAGAACAATATTCAAATTAAGCACCAACATCCACAGGAATGCAGAAACGATCAGTGAAAAAAACTCATAGCAAGGAAGCCTATCTTTTAGGCAATAACTCAAACACTTGGTGTGAAATCCAAATGGAAGAAACGAAACAAAAACAGACTGCTAACTTTTCAACCTTACATATAACTGTTTACCATCATACAACACTCAACTTTTACAGACTTCTTTTTAATTTTAACAATTTTCAGTATGGGACTTTGAGATTACGTCTTCGGCGTTTGCAGAAGGATGAAGAACTAGAAAATAAATGAAAGATGTCTACTAGAATCTTGTATAAAAAGGTAAAGTCAAGTGCGGGGATATCTCAATTGGGAGAGCGTCAGACTGAAGATCTGAAGGCCGCGTGTTTGATCCACACTCACTGCATACTTCCTTCTCCTTCAGACTCAGATGATTCTGAATTGAGGAAGTCTTAGAAAAAGTTATTTTTTATATATCAAGGAAGGGGGAGACTCAAAGTTTTTAACAAAGATTACAAAGGAGAAAACATATTACGCTATGCGGGGAAGCCGGCGCGATCATCCTCTAAGAGTCTAACTATTTCTAATGGGGGTTCTGCCAACATGCGGAACCTGCTGCGCTGTCCTCTAGAGGTTTTAGCTAAGGCATCCGCCGGCCGATTTAATTCTCGTGGTATAGCTGAAATCTGCCAGAAAGGAAAGGGAGCAAGTTCCTTTTTACAGGCCTCAAAGTATGTTATGCGCAGCAATGGATGGGGCTCTAGATGTATGGAGGTATGCTACTGCTTCAGCAGAGTCAGACTCAATCAGGATTTGTTTGAGGCCTAGGGATGTAGCCAGTTGGATCCCTTTAAGTAGCGCCCAAGATTCCGCTTCAAGAGGGGAGCATATGCCAATTGCAGATAGAAAAAGTTATTAATTGTATAGTTTTTACCTATTTAGTGCTTTATAATAATGTATATAAATTTAAATATTTTTTTACTTTTTCAAAAACAATATACTCCCTGAATGAGTCCTTTCAATTATATTTTGAATAAATATACACATAATTCAATTAATCAACATGAACATATAAAATATGCTTCGGCTCCTTCGAGTGTCCTGTTTTTAAAAATAATTATTATAAATTTATTTTGTTACCGATTAAGAAAGACTTCTAGAACATTACCTTGAGTATATACTAGTTAGGGGGCGTTTGATTCACGAAATCTTATATTATCCCAGGTAATAGGATTACTTGGGGGAAGGTAATGTGATATTTTGGGAATGTAAGATTACTTGATGTGTTTGGTTAAAGTTGCGGGAATGTAACATTAACTTGTTTGGTTGAAGGGTATATTTTAGGGTATATTACATCAATTACTTAAATGCCCTCATATAAATTGAAAGGTGTAAATTGCAAGTCTTTTTTTCCATAATTCAAAATTTAACAAGATGCTAATAATAATAATAATAATAATAATAATAATAATAATAATAATAATAATAATAATAATAATAATAATAATAATAATAATAATAATAATAATAATAATAATAATAATAATAATAATAATAATAATAATAATAATAATAATAATAATAATATAATAATAATAATAATAATAATAATAATAATAATAATAATAATAATAATAATAATAATAATAATAATAATAATAATAATAATAATAATAATAATAATAATAATAAATAATAATAATAATAATAATAATAATAATAATAATAATAATAATAATAATAATAATAATAATAATAATAATAATAATAATAATAAATAATAATAATAATAATAATAATAATAATAATAATAATAATAAATAATAATAATAATAATAATAATAATAATAATAATAATAATAATAATAATAATAATATAATAATAATAATAATAATAATAATAATAATAATAATAATAATAATAATAATAATAATAATAATAATAATAATAATAATAATAATAATATAATAATAATAATAATAATAATAATAATAATAATAATAATAATAATAATAATAATAATAATAATAATAATAATAATAATAATAATAATAATAATAATAATAATAATAATAATAATAATAATAATAATAATAATAATAATAATAATAATAATAATAATAATAATAATAATAATAATAATAATAATAATAATAATAATAATAATAATAATAATAATAAATAATAATAATAATAATAATAATAATAATAATAATAATAATAATAATAATAATAATAATAATAATAATAATAATAATAATAATAATAATAATAATAATAATAATAATAATAATAATAATAATAATAATAATAATAATAATAATAATAATAATAATAATAATAATAATAATAATAATAATAATAATAATAATAATAATAAAATAATAATAATAATAATAATAAATAATAATAATAATAATAATAATAATAATAATAATAATAATAATAATAATAATAATAATAATAATAATAATAAATAATAATAATAATAATAATAATAATAATAATAATAATAATAAAAAAAAAAAAAAATAATAATAATAATAATAATAATAATAATAATAATAATAATAATAATAATAATAATAATAATAATAATAAATAATAATAATAATAATAATAATAATAATAATAATAATAATAATAATAAAATAAAAAAAAAAAAAAAAAAAAAAAAAAAAAAAAAATAATAATAATAATAATAATAATAATAATAATAATAATAATAATAATAATAATAATGGAATGCTACTGTAAAGATGCAATTCAACAACAACAACAACAATAACAATAATAATAATAATAATAATAATAATAATAATAATAATAATAATAATAATAATAATAATAATAATAATAATAATAATAATAATAATAATAATAATAATAATAATAATAATAATAATGAAATGTACTCTGTAAAGATGCTTCATAGACCATCCAACACCAACAAAATTAAAATTAAAATCTATAAACATGCAATTCCTGCTAATTGATTGTTTTGTTACATAATTTGTGATAAGTAGCAAAATATTACAATATTAATCTACTTCATTTCATAATCCATCCAACAAAATAACATCCCCATATACAGCCCCAAATCCATATAGATTACAGACTATCCAATTCACAGACCATCCAACAAAATTTACATTAACATAGCATATCCATTATCTGCACACAAAATAACAGCCCCATATCCATATTAATTCGTTAAAAAAAAAAAAAAAAAAAAAAAAAAAAAAAAAAAAGGCTACAAGGGCAACAAGCAGTCTACACACCATCTCCACCATGAAAATCATAGGTTGGATGATATGCATTGATCTCAGATAGTTGTTTCACCACATAGTAGCTCCTAAGCTCTTTTGGCAAAGCAAAGAACGTGTCAAGCTTGTGTACATCTTTCAGAATATGTTCACCAGCATTCATGACCTCTTCTGTAGAAAATCCTGGTAGTTGCATTATCTCTTTAAAGATCTTCATCTTCCTAGTGTTGTTCTCAGATTCATTCTGAAAATATGTTGCCACATGTTTGTATGCACCTACATAATCATGGATCTCTGCCAATTCATGATTGTAGCTACTGGACTTGTATCCCAATTCAGCAAATTTGAAGAATTGGAAAATATTGAGAAAGAAATGAGCTATCTTGCTAGTACAGATATTGGTGAACAATGTTCAAGAATTCTTATTGTAAGTTACAACCATTTACCTCAGCATTTGAAAGCTTTCTTTTTATATTTAGGAGTTTTCTCAGGCCATAGTGAAATTCCTATTAAAAAGCTTGTTAGGTTATGGATTGTCTAGGGGTTTTAGGAAAAGGAGAGAGTGAAAAAGAAGGGAAAGGAAACTGTTTTCATTCATATCTGAGCTAAGAAGATTACAAAGCTTTATACACAGAGGGGAAGGAAAGAAACTGCTAACTACTTCTAACTGCATGCAACTGAAGATAACAAAATGAAAGAAGGAGTGAATATGATAGCTGGCAACTATCAATTGTTGATGCAATTATCTTGACTTCCTGATATCCCCCTGCAAGCTGGATTGTATAAATTGAACAATCCAAGCTTGGAGATATAACTGTTGAATGATCCTAGTAAGCAATGTGTCTTTGTAAAGGTGTCTGCTAGCTAGTTTACTGAGGCAACATGAGGAGTTTGATGATGCCTTTGCTTAGCTTTTCTCTGACCAAGTGGCAGTCCAATTCAATGTGCTTGGTATGTTCATGAAATACCGGATTCTCAGCAATAGCAATTGCTGATTTGCTATCACAATATACAGCTGCAGGAGTGTTGTGTGTTACCCCAAGTTCTGTGAACAGATATATTAGCCATTGGACCTCACAAGTAGTTGCTGCTAGGGCTCTATACTCAGCTTCTGAGGATGACTTAGAGATAGTAGGTTACTTTTTTGACTTCCAAGCTATTAAGGCATGGCCTAGGAACACACAAAAACCAGTAACAGATCATATTGTATCAACACAGGCTCCCCAATCTGAGTTTGAGAAAGCCTTCAGCTGTAAGTCAGAAGAAGAGGGAAAGAACAAACCCTGTCCTGGAGCAGCTTTAATATATCTTAGAACCCTATGAGCAGCTTGCAGGTGCAGATTGGTAGGTTTATCAAGGAATTGAGACAACTGCTGAGTTGCAAAGCTCTTGTCTGGCCTGGTTATGGTGAGATAAAGCAGCTTACCCACAATCTTTCTATATTGAGTGTTATCTTCAAGGAGTTCTCCTTCAGTTTTACTCAATTTATGGGATGGAACAGTGGGGCAGTGAACAGGTTTGGAGTTTGTGAATCCCGTGTCAGCAAGCAGCTCAATAACATATTTTCTTTGGCAGATTAGAATCCCTTTCTGTTGTCTGGCCACTTCCAGCCCTAAGAAGTATTTTAGGGGCCCTAGGTCTTTTATCTTGAAGCTCGTGTTGAGCTGTCTCTTGACCTCTTGTATCCTTTCTAAATCAGCACTTGTAATCACTATGTCATCCACATAGACTAGTAGAGCTACAAAAGAAAAACCTACTCCTTTTGTGAACAAGGAATTGTCAGGTATGGTCCGTTTAATCCCCAAGTTTTGTAAGACAATACTCAGCTTAGTGTTCCATTGTCTACTGGCTTGCTTTAATCCATATAAGGACTTATTTAGTTTGCATACCTGACCCTCCTTCCCTTTTGTGAACCCAAGGGGCAGCTGCATGTAAACCTCCTCCTCTAAGTCCCCATTGAGAAAAGCATTATTTACATCTATCTGATGCAAATGCCACCCTTTTGCTGCTGCCACTGCCAATAAGGTCCTGATGGTTGTCATCTTAGCCACAGGGCTGAAGGTATCAATATAATCTATCCTAAGAGTTTGATTGTAGCTTTTAGCTACTAGTCTTGCCTTGTATCTATCAATGGTGCCATCAGCTTTGTGCTTGATTTTGTATACCCATTTGCAACCAATGGGCTTCTTGGAAGGTGGCAGATTGACTAATTCCCCCAAGTATCATTCCCTTCAAGAGCTTTGAGTTCTTCTTCGACGATAGCCACCCGTGTCCGCCGGCGACTCTCACCACCACCGGTGGTGACTCCGGCTCCGACGCAACGACGTCAACTCCGGCGCCGAACCCGGCGTACAAACAGTGGGTGCGCCAAGATCAATCCATCCTTTCACTATTGATCTCGGCGATGTCAGATGAAGTCCTACACCTTGCGGTTGGCAGGGCTACCGCGCCGAGGTGTGGCATTCGGTGTGCACGACATTGGGCTCCACGACTCAGGAAAGGTGCCTAAATCTGCTTGAACAATTCCAGGCTCTCCGGCAAGGCAATGCTACGCCTACGGAGTACCTCGGCCGGGCAGAACTGCTGGTTGAGGCCCTAACTCAAGCCGGCCAACCGCTCACCATGTCGGAGCAGAACCTGTACGTTCTGCGTGGATTGCGTCCGGAATACCGCTCATATGTTGCTGCCCTCACCGCCAACACTCCAGTTTCCCTACCCCAGTTGGCCGACTATCTGCAAGCCGCAGACTTTATCCTTGCAGACGAGTTCGGCGCCGGAGGTGGTAACGGAGGTTCGTCGCATGCAGCATTCTACGCGAGTCGCAGAAATGGTGGGCAGCAGGGTGGTGACGGAGGCGGCCGGAACCACCGTGGAGGCCGAGGCGGACGCAATCAGCGTGGTAGCCGGGGCAGACGCGGCGTGCCGAGGTGTCAGATTTGCAGATCGCAGGGCCATACCGCGGTCTAATGTTACAAAAGATACACAACACAACCGCCAGCACAAGCCCACGTCGCAGTTTCCGGGGAATCACCGGCGTCCAGCGCACCACTGCCCGAAGCATGGTATCCCGATACGGGTGCTACGGCGCACGCAACCCCGGATGCAGGCATGCTGACCACCTCGGATGAATACAATGGCCCGGACACACTCCGGGTTGGGAATGGTACAGGTTTAGTAATCTCTCGGGTTGGCCATGCATCAATTCCATCTGAGTCTAAATAGTTGTTTCTGTCAAATGTGTTACATGTCCCTAATTTAACTGTCCCATTATTATCTGTCCAGAAATTTGCGACTGAAAACAGTGTATTTTTTGAATTTCACCCAAATTGTTTCATTGTGAAGGATTCCAACACCAAGGCAGTACTTCTTAAAGGTCCTACCTCTGGAGGCCTATACAAGTTACCCGTGTCCCGGAGTCACTTTGCGTTCGTCACTTCTCGTGCTACGCCAGCAGTCTGGCATCGCAGGCTTGGTCATCCTCACAGCGTCGTTCAAAATAAAATCCTTAAACACTATTCAGTCCAGCAAAATAATGTTACTTTAGGGTCATGTACTGCTTGTCATCTTGGCAAGTCCTGTCGTTTTCCATTAAATAGAGTAGTACAATCTAGCGAAAATGTACTAGATTTAGTCTACACGGATATTTGGGGGCATGCCCTAGTTATCTCGTCCAGTGGTTTTCGGTATTTCTTGCTGTTTGTTGACGATCATTCTCGCTTCTGCTGGTTTTATCCATTAAGGGTAAAATCAGACATCTATAAAATGTTTGATGTGTTTCGTGTGTTGGTAGAGCGACAATTTCGCGCTCTATCAAATCTATTCAGTCCGACATAGGGGGTGAGTATCGCAAACTGCATACCACCTTTGAAACTCTCGGTATTAATCACCGGCAATCCTGCGCCTATACACACGAACAAAATGGGAGAGTTGAGCGCCGCAACAGACACATTGTCGAAACGGGCTTAACTCTTCTTGCTCAAGGGTCTGTTCCACAACAATTTTGGGATTTTGCCTTTGAGACTGCCACGTGCTTAATTAATTATCTACCCTCTTCCGCTATAAAATTCGAAAGTCCCTACCACCGACTATACAAAAAGCTACCTCCATATCAATTCTTAAAAGTCTTCGGGTGTCAATGTTACCCGTACCTAAGACCGTACAATCGGAATAAAATCGAGTTTCGTTCCACTCCATGTGTCTTCTTAGGTTACCCACCGTCCTTTAGGGGATATAGGTGCATGGATCTAATCAGGGGGGAAAACTTATACCTGTCGCCATGTTCGTTTTGACAAATCTGTCTTTCCCTTTGCAACAGGTTCTTTACCACCAGCTGATGAGCCTCAGCCCGTGCCTTGGGCTTCTGGACCCATAGTACCCGTTCAGGGTACCGGGTGTAATCTGCTTCCTGTTACTCTCAGTCCTGACCCTGAGCCATTAGCTCATGAGTCACCTCATTTAGCCATTGAGCCATCTGCCCTTGCGGCTCTTGGACGAGGTCGGGCGCAACCTCAGGACCGAGGGCATGTCATGCGGCTACGACACATGACCCACGGTAATAGTGAGGAATTTCAGGCCCTCACTACCACAACCACACCGGATCCAACGTGCTACTCTCAAGTTGTTGGGCACTCTCACTGGAGGGATGCTATAGACCAGGAGTTCAACGCTTTACTTCACAATAACACCTGGCGTTTAGTCCCACCTGATCCTAACATGAATATTATTGGATGCGAGTGGGTTTTTCGCACCAAGCGTACCGCAAACGGGACTGTGGAACGCCATAAGGCACGCCTGGTAGCAAAGGGGTTTAACCAAGTGGCAGGCGAAGACTTCTTTGACACTTTCAGTCCGGTTGTCAAGCCAACTACAGTACGTATGCTATTTTCCTTGGCTATCACAAACAAATGGGTCCTCCGGCAGCTAGATGTCCACAATGCCTTCCTAAATGGCCATCTAGCTGAAACTATGTATATGAAGCAACCACCGGGTTACGAAGATCCTATTCATCCGGAACATGTCTGCCACTTACAGCGATCTCTCTACGGTTTAAAGCAAGCTCCCCGTGCATGGTTCAAGCGACTTCACGACTTCTTGTTATCTGCAGGGTTTTCTTCGTCAAAAACAAATGTCTCCCTCTTCTAGCTCACCTCAGAGGCGTCGCAGGTTTTCCTCCTTGTCTATGTGGATGACATCATTATGATGAGCAACAACACCTCCCTACTAGATACTCTACTTGGTCATCTTGCAACTGTGTTTAAAATACGGGATCTTGGCAAACCTGGCTTCTTCTTAGGTATTGAAACTGTTGACACTACTAGTGGAATGCTTCTGTCCCAACGGCGCTACATGACTGATTTGCTGACTAGGGCTGGGATGGTAAACTGTAAACCCTTGACTACTCCGGCTTCAGTTACACAGTCGGCAACTCCGTCTACGGAACTGTTTGATAATCCGACGTAGTATCGACGCATTGTTGGGGCTCTTCAGTATCTCACTATCACACGACCTGATTTGTCTTTTTCAGTTAATCGTCTATGTCCGTTTATGCACGCCCCGACTACTGATCATTGGGCAATGGTGAAACGGGTTCTTCGGTATATTAAGGGGACTCTTCACTATGGTCTGCACCTGAGTGCATCACCCACTACCTTTATTCATGCCTATTCCGACTCTGACTGGGCTGGATGTCCTGTTGACAGGAAAAGCACGAGTGGATATGCTGTTTTTCTCGGGTCTAATCTCATCTCCTGGCTATCCCGGAAACAACGTACTGTGGCCCGCTCTTCGACAGAAGGCGAGTATAAAGCCCTAGCCGATGTTGCTGCTGAGGTTACTTGGGTTGTTTCATTGTTACGTGAGTTGGGGCTGCACACCGGTCAACCGTCTACTTTGTGGTGTGATAACTTTGGAGCTACGTATTTATATGCTAATCCAGTGTTCCACGCCAGAACAAAGCATGTGGAGATTGACTATCACTTTGTGCGAGACAAGGTTGCAACGGGGGACTTCAAGGTAAACTTCATATCAACCAAGGACCAGCTCGCTGATATCTTCACCAAGCCGCTTCCAGGTCCAAGGTTCACTACACTACGAGACAAGCTACATGTTGTTTCTCACCAACCTTCTGCTTGAGGGGGTGTGTGAGTGTTATTAATAATTATTGTTATTATTATTATATAACCTATAGTAGTTACTGTGTGGTATTAGAATAATTCTGATGTAATAGCCTAGTAGATAGGAGAGTTTAGAGGTAGACTTTGATATACTCTCGTGTAATCCTATCTACCAGTAACTGAATACAACAATTTGAATTCTCATCCCCCAACTCAAGTTTTCTGGCTCCGTCCCTGCTTCTACACTTGGTTAAACTTTTAATTATAATAACATGTTATGATTAAGCATTAATTAGCTACATCAATCTCACACAGTTTTTTTTTTTTTTTTTTCTTTTTTTTAGGCTTTTATGGCAGTAGTTGTTTTTCTTTTTTTTTTTTAGGCTTTTATGGCAGTCTACGCTACGGAAGCTGGTAATTTAATTAACCACTTGTGATATTTTCTTCCAATGTATATTAGTATACTAGTTTTCATGTTTATTGTGCGAATGAGATAATGCTAAATGTTTATTTTTAATAACTTATTTTAAAATATATCAATGCAAGATTATATATGAAATTTTCATGAATGTTGAATTTGTTTATTTAACTCGCTAATTCAAAGTATATAAATGTAAGATAATAAAGGAGAGATTGATTATAATTATCATTAAAATAAATGTTTACAACTTTGTAAAATCACAAGTATTAAAATAATAGTCTAAATAAATATTACTTTTGGTTTAAATTTTTATAAGTTTCCATAATTTTCTTTTGAGTACCATTGTCTTCATCTTCCGTATTTGTCCTATTCTTTTTATTGATAGTGTCATCGACGGCGACTCTATGATGAATGAGCACCTTTGGCCACTTGAGGATCAATGCTTCTCTTCTCATCTTCCGCTGCTTTTCAATTCGCAAGTTTGGATGGAGTTCCGATCCCCACGAGCTTTGGCTTGACACTCTCCGTCTTGGGCGAGAAGAAAGCTTCTTAGTTGTATCTCAATGTCATCTTCAACATTAATTTGAGCACAAAGTCTGTGATTTTGATTACAAGATGAGATAACGGACTTGAACACAATTTGAGCACAAAGTCTCTGATTTTGATTACAAGATGAGATGACGGACTTGAACACCACCGTTGTTGTATTCCTTGTGCAGAAAGGCTTGCAAAGAAGAAAGCTTCTCAAACAGAGAATTCAATGGCTTTTCATCATGAAGAGACACTCTGTGAATTCATAATAGACTATATATGTTAATTATATGTACAAGTTTCTTCCAAGTATGCAACACAGGTAAAAGTGTTTTTTAAAAAATATAATGCACCATTATATTGACACTCTCATAGCTAATATTGATATTCAACAAAATTAATTTACCTAAAAATGAGAATGAAATTATAGTTGGAGACTGTCTGCTATTGTCCATGGCATAGAGATCGAGGTGTCAAATGATACACTGGAATGTTGAAACAATACAAAAATGATCAGTAAAAAACACCTACTCTTGTTGGGTACTGTTGGCACAATTAAGCCACACGTACAATTCTAAATCAATTGATTGGAGAGAATAAATGTATGAGAAAGCACTCGCGATGCTATACAAGCTCACGCAACGCTTTAGGACCAGGCGCTCAAGGATGGAGAATAGAAACTCATCATCAAAGACATTCCATAGCATGAGATCAACATTTTCAAGCAACAAAAAATATGCCATCATCTGGAACAAGAAGTGAACCAGAATAATAATAGTCTTTCAATACTTCTCATTGCATTCTATATCTCCCTACCTTTCTATTTTGTCCCTCCCTATCTCTTCTCCCTTAATATTCAATCTCCCTCCCATTCTTCTTCATTTTTCATTCTCTTCTTAAAGTCAGTACCCACTTGAAGTGTTGCCTACTTGATACTTAGTCTATCACATTGAAAACCACGCAACTATGCATAAAAACCATCCAAAATAAATTCTAGCCTATCAAACTTGTCAATTATTAATATTTAGTCGTTTAATTTAGCACCAATTCAAATGCATATATAATGAGCATGCCAAAAATGAATACTAAAATCATGTCTTCATCAGTCATTATTTAAGAATGATGTTTTTTTTTACCTTTATGATCTACTCCCATGGTATCGTTTCAGCTGCAAAAAAATTAAACAATGCTAAATGGAAGACAAAGCTACATGTAGCTAGGATACCCTCTGGCATCATATCCTTCTTCTAATGGTAACTAACTCAATGCCAGCCCTGCCTGGTGGCTGGTCGTCTTCTTCTGACTCTTCCTTATCTGTGTACTGCCATTCATCATAGCAATTGGATCAATGAAAGAATAATGCAAAATGGATCCCAGAACATGAAACCAGGTAATAAAAAAGAAATATTAAACAGATTTTGCAAACAAACTAAACAAAAGAATTAAAGAGAAGCTAACAGAAACATACTGAAAGAATCTTGCCGTCGATAGTAACTTCAGGCAGCTTAATCCCAGGTACCTCAAATCTGTAGCGCATTCTTTGTTGAATCCACTTGGCAGAAGTGACCACAGAAGGAGGACATTGCTCCAACTTAATTGAAAACAACAACAAGGGGCCTTCTGCAAAATCAGGAGGGATCTCTTCCAGAAAATAACAACATTTTAAGACTATATGCCTGAGATTTGGGAAATGACTACCATTGGTCACCCATCGCTCCAGATTTCTGGCTTCAAGGACCAACTCTTCTAATTCACAGAATCTGCCTTCAGCTACTTCCCACACTCTGCCATAGAAAGCATTTTCTAGTTTCAGCACCCTAAGTCTGGGCAACTGCCCAATTACCCTTAAAACCTTCACCGGAAAATTAGTCCCACTCAACCTCAACTCCTTCAAACTTGCAGGAAAACCAAGCTGCTCCAAAAGGGTTATACGACCAACTGAAACGATAACCGTTAGAGTCTCCAGCCTTAATAAATCCTCAAAATTCTCCAGAATGATGGTGGGATTTCCGCAAGATCCAAGGGTGCAACCGGCCTCAAAGAGGTCTTTATAGAGAATTTTCAGTTTTCTTATGCTTGGAAACCTGCAATAATACACTTCTTTCTTGAAATGAATTGGCATCGCACAAACTAATGTTTGCAAATGCTCTTTAACCATGTTTGGAGGATCTACCATATACATATCCCCAAGCTCAAGATGCCTTAAATGTTGCAGCTCCCAAATTTTGGATGGCAAATGAAGAGTAGGTGCTCCAATTGTTGATTGATCAACCCCAGAAACAATAAGCGTTTGCAAATTCGAATTATTTGATACTACATCATCAAGATTGCCAAACCATTGTGGTACGGATAGATATCTCAAAAAAACTAAATCCCCCAAGGGCAATGGCGGCACTCTCTTGAAACAATAAGCTTTTGCAAATTCGAATTATTTGATACTACATCATCAAGATTGCCAAACCATTGTGGTACGGATAGATATCTCAAAAAAACTAAATCCCCCAAGGGCAATGGCGGCACTCTCTTGAGTACTAGAGATTGACTGAAATCTAAAATTCTTAAATGTTTGAAAGTTATAAACATTTCAAAATCTCCTTGAAAGAAGAGTAGGGAGCGAGGGATATTTGAACTAAACAATATATGATAGTCCAAACTATGTGAGCGTAAACTTAACCATCGACATGAATTTGCAAGTATGTCTAATGGCCATCCAATACATTGTTGAGTATTTACTGCACATAAAAGACCATAATTTTGAGCTTCTCGTACGCAAAAGCTATGCAGGTCAATATGTATCCAACAAGTCTTTGGTTTGAAAGCTTTGCCCATGTCTAGATCGACTAGTCCTCTACTTCTAAGATCATCTAAATACCGGTAAGCTATATCTTCTAATGGCAGACACCTTAGTGGCTTCACAAATCCCTCAGCAATCCATAACTTAATAAGTCTTTCCACTTGGATTTGACTGTGTTTTGGAAAGACTGCAAAATATAAAAAGCAAACTCTTAAATGTTGTGGCAAATGATTGTAAATGTCAGTGAGCTTACTTGAGTGTTGTGCATCTTTATGTAGAATTCCCAATGACAGTAGTTCTTTTTCAATCTTCTTCCATTCCTTCAATGTGTAGTTGCATTTAGATAAACGATTTGCAACCATAACAATTGACCGCGGCAATCCTTTGCATTCCTCAATAAGATTCTTTGCAATTTCTTTAAATTTAGGTGACATATACTGTTTAAGAGAAAATCTGTGGCAAAATAGATCACAACTCTCATTGTCAGTTAGGAAAGGCAAGGAATAGAAATCTTTGCTAATGTACTTAGCCACATCACTGAAAAGAGTGGTTAGCAATATCCGACTTCCATTTGATTCATCAGGGAAACATTGTTGGATATCATCCCAAACCACAGTGTTAGGGACATCATCCAAAACAATTAAATATCTTTTGCATTTCAAGTGTTTGTGCAGTTGCACTTTTAGTTGAAAAACAGTGCTTCCCATGTCAATTTCATTGAGGGATGGCTTCATTGATTGAAGAAGGTGGCGCAATAATTGTTGCACATTGTATCTTCGCGGAATAGTAACCCAACCCCGAATGCTGAAATGTGATACAACCCCTTCATTTGCATAGAGTTTTTTACAAAAAGTAGTCTTTCCAAGGCCTGGCACTCCAAAAATTGGGAGTACTGTTCGTTGTGGAATAATAATATCATTGAGGATAACATTCCTTAACGATGTAAACTCATTGTGACGACCAACCATTATATCGTCAAGCTCTGGAGAACATTGCAAGGATCCACCTGACAAAATGTTCTCAAGTTGTGAATCGTTGGCCACTTCAACTTCATTGCTTGCGCTATTGATAATCTTCAACAACTCTGATGCATCCTTTGCTACTTCTTGCAAGATTTGGTAGAGTTTCGCATGAGCTTTTTGTTTATGCTCTCCTCCGTCTTTGGGTAGAAGGGTGTTTCTTAGTTGTATTTCAATGTCATCTTCAGCTTTGAGTGCAAAGTCTCTGATTTTGATTTGCAGATGTGGGATTGGAGCACCACCGTTGTTGTATTCCTTCTTCAGAAAGGCTTCCAAAGAAGAAAGCTTCTCAAACACAGATTTCAATGGCTTTTCATCAAAAAGAGACACTCTGTGGTTGGGTTGAAGTAACTCATGCTGAATTGTTGCCATGAGAGAAGTCAATGCAACACAAGCCATATCTCTCACCTCTTACTCTCTGCAACTTCTGGTTTTTGAGAAAGAAAAGAATGTAGAAGATCATTTGCACATAAAATTAAAATATGATAGAAGGGCTTTTAGCTCCTCAATAATGGCAACAGCATAGTCCTTTCTCTGCATTGGATTCTTTCCCTTTCAACGGGAGTGGAGCCCCAAATTACTTTCCTTTTCTAAAGTTATGTCTCAATCATGGCCTACTTATTATTACAATTTTTTAAAAAATTAGTTACACTCATAATTTATTAGTTATGTTTATAATGCATGTGGTAATATATTTTTTGAGTGCTCACAGTGTACATGTGACCTCTCATTTAGAAGAGCCACAATCATGTCGCTCCACCACAAGGTCTTTGGTGCATGTGGTAATATATGAAACAAAATAAAATATATAATGATATTTAATTTTATCATTATTAGTAATATAATAACTATTAAATATTTAATCCCCTTGCAAAATGAATTCCAATGTATCATTGCTCATCAGAGCATAAGCACGACCAATGTTATAATCAAAATATAAATTTTTTGCTTCAAATTAAGTAAAAATAAGACACTTGTATAAAATAATTTCACAACTAGCCATAGTAAAACTCAGAAAAGGAAATCAAGAATTATTAGAATAATATTCAAATTAAGCACCAACATCCACTGAAATGCAGAAACAATCAGTGAAAAAACAAATCATAGCAAGGAAGCCTCTCTTTGAGGCAATAACTCAAACACTTGGTGTGAAATCCAAATGGCAGAAACGAAACACAAAAAAGACTGCTAACTTTTCAACGTTACATATAATTGTTTATCATCATACTACACTCAACTTTTAAAGACTTCTTTTTAATTTAAAAATTTTCAGTATGGGACATAGAGATTACCTCTTTGGTGTTGCAGAAGGATGAAGAATTGGAGCTTGGCAGCCCAACTAGAAAATAAAAATGAAGATTTTGTATGTAAAAGAAGGCAAAATGAAGTGCGGGGATAGCTCAGTTGGGAGAGCGTCAGACTGAAGATCTGAAGGCCGCGTGTTCGATCCACGCTCACCGCAGCATAGATCCTTCTGATTCTGAATTGAGGAAGGCTTAGGAGAAGTTATTAATGGTACAGTGATGTGTTTAACTATTTAGTGCTTTAATATACTCCTGAATTAGTCCTTTCAATTATATTAGTATTGTACCCGTGTGATGCACGGATATAACTTATACAATAATAAATTTATAATATATTATTGTACTAATGGTACAGTGATGTTATTAATGGCTTAGGAGAAGTTATTAATGGTACAGTGATGTGTTTAACTATTTAGTGCTTTAATATACTCCTGAATTAGTCCTTTCAATTATATTAGTATTGTACCCGTGTGATGCCCGGATATAACTTATACAATAATAAATTTAATAATTTTTATCTTAAAATTGATTTTCATAAAAGTAATCAATCGTGAAAATTTAGATGCAATAATAAGATAATATATATTATTAAAAAGAGAAGTTTGTTACAATTGAATTGAAATTACAAATTATTGAACATTTTATGATAAACAACATTTGTAGTTGATGTAGAATTCGCATAACCCTTCATTGCAAATCAAGATCTTTAAACAGTTAGGATTGCTAACTCGGAAAGCAGCTACGTATAATTTGGTCATGTACAAATACCGATTTCTTTAGCAACAATCCAACGTACTCTTTGGAGGTTCTTTGATGATATTTTCCAACATATTAACAGTTATGAATAAAACGTAACTATAAAACAACTATACACATACATATATGTATGGATTATCTTAAATAATTAAAAAAAAAAAAAAAAAAAAAAAAAGGATAGAGGGCCAACTGCCAGCCCAACACCAAAGTATTTTTTTAATTCTAACATAGCCCATTACCCATACCCATTTGAGCCCAAACCAATGCTACTGTGCAACCGAATGCACCATGCGCATGGTGCATACGATGCAAAACAACGTCGTTTTGACTAAAAAGTAAAAAACGCGCGTCCCACTTATAAAAAAAAAAAAATTCAGGTTCGATTCTCGGTAATAGCATTATTGTGGATATATAGTTATGAATTTATGGATATTTAGTTCATTCATTGTGGATATTTAGTTCATTCATTATAGGTATTTACTTCATTCATTCACTGTGGATATATAGTTATGAATTTATGGACATATAGTTATGAATTTCTGGATATATAGTTATGAATTTCTGGATATATAGTTCATTCATTGTGGATATTTAGTTCAATCATTGTGGATATTTAGTTCATTCATTATGGATATTTAGTTCATTCATTGTGGATTTTTACTTCATTCATTCACTGTGGATATATAGTTGTGAATTTGTGGATATATAGTTATGAATTTATGGATATATAGTTATGAATTTATGGATATATAAAAATGTTGTCGAGAATCGAACCTGATTTATTTTTTAAGTGGGACGCGCGTTTTTTAACCAAAACGACGTCGTTTTGCTTCATGTGCACCATGTGCATGGTGCATTCGGTTGCACAGATAATTTGCGAATGCTACTACCAACCCATCCCCTTATCTGAGTTCACCTTTCGGATCGGTAAACAACAGACCATTAACCATAGTATCATCTTTCTTGCTCGTTTCTTACCTATGTCCGCCACCACCAAATGACGGGAAACACTGAAGGGTAGAGTCCTTATGCCATCATCGTAGTCTTAGCTAGGTTTTCCAATTGCAGTTTACAGTAATCCATAAAATCTGTTCGTTGAAGCTATTATTGAGCTATTCAACTCTAACGATTCACGATCTAAACTCAGAGGAAGCTATTCTTGAGCTGGCTGTTCAGCATGACATAGATAAGTATTCAATTTTGCTATATTAGTAAATTTATTTGCCCTAGTCCATTTCGAATCAGTTCGATTTACTGGTTCTTAGAATGAATTGCTACGGATTAGCATTACTATCGGCCATTTTTTCATACTATTGGGTTTTTGCATCTCAGATTCACTTCCTTTTTTATTACAGAAAAGTGATAGCAATATCCATAGCCTGCAATATGTTTTTTGTCTACCGCAATCCCATTTTTCAATTCCTTATAGTTTCAATCAAACTAACAATTCCTTGCATGTTATTTGTAAGTGTACAAATTAGTACACGTTAGATTGGCTAATTTATTAGTTTATTTTATTAGTATGTAATGCTAATTAGTATGAGTTGTAATTAGTATTAATGGACCAAGCTAAAATGTGTGGTGGAGATTTCTCTTTAATGAGTTGAACCAAGAGCAAGTCTGAAGATCTCAAATTAAAGAATATGTGGTTGAGAAGAATTCAAGCCACATGTGAAAGCTACAATCAAGGATTGGAGAAATTGAATTTTCATACAATATATAAGGAAGGGAAAACGAAAGAGGAAGTTGCCAATTCTGAAATTCTAATCACATACGCAAGCTTCCTATATCACTTCTTGAATATTGATTATGTTATATTTGTGATTTAATTCTGTACTTCAAGTCAGTACCTGTGACAGCTGAAGCGCTACACCAAAGATGGTTATGGCATGCACGGTTCAGTCCTGAATAGGTGTTTAAGAAGAGTTGTAGTGGTAAAGGCTGTGAGCCATTTGTAGTTACCTCTTGTAATACTCCGTGGTGAACATCTATAGTGGATTAGGCAGACGTGGGTTGCCCCGCAGACGTAGGAGAAGTGCTTCGAACTGCGTAACAATTCTACTGTGTCTTTACTTTATTTATGCTTTCAATTTTGTTATTTATTCTTTGATTAAATTGATTTAATTAAACAACGAAATTGTCCCGTAACATAAAATCAAGTAGAATCCTTAGTGTTAAATTAATTTCAAGATACACGGGCATTTTCATTATTGTCCTAACTACTTTTGGGCACCTAAAATCCCCAGATCACATGTCCTATATTCGATCTGGAGCATGCAAGGACATTTTTTTTAATTGGCCTGAAACTTTTGGTTGTTCAAATTGCTGCTAGGTACTCACAATGCCCATTTGAAGTGTTTTTTTCCTACTGAAAGAATTTGTCTACTTGTGGATTTTATAATTGGTTCTGTTTGGGTTTTTTTGTGAATGTTAATTACTGCCAATTCTATGTTTTTTTGTTGTGGGTTATCTATTTTAGACAATCTGATGCTATAGCTGGGTTTATTTAGACATAGTATTTAACATGTTTTTTTTTTTTTCATATAAATAGGGTGTTTTTTACTGGTTTGATTTTTTTAATGCTATTCTTTAATCAATAAGTTCCGGTTATATATATATCTTTTGGTGGGAGTTCAGGTTATATATTAAAAGTGAACTTAACACACATTTTCACATTTTTACATGAACTATATACTTAAACTAACAAAAACATCAAACACAAATATATAAAACACAGTTAAGTTCATGTTGGACTTGAAAATGATAGTTACAAAAACTTTTTAGTTGAACTACTTATTCCATACTTCATGTTATATGAACTATGGACTTAATCTAAAGGATAAAAATTTGGTACATACACTCTTTTACATAACTTTTTAACTGAAATACATATTCCATAGTTTATGTTATATGAACAATGGACTTAATCTAAAGAAAAAAAGTGGGTACATATTACTTGGTTCCTGAAGACCTTTATTGATTGGCATTCTTTATTCGACAGATAAGAATACTCTTCAACCTATTCATTAAACTCATCAAAAAATTTTACCTCAACAAACTCATCATCATCACACTTAGATGCAATTCTGAAGTCAAATCCTTGTCCTGAGCAGTTATTAGTTCTAGGCAATGCTGAGCCACCAGCTTGTGATCATTCATAATCCTTATTACAGAAAAGGGATTATGAAGGTTCACAAAATGTTCTTTCCTTATTGCTATTGGTTGTTAATTTCATATCTGCGAATTGAAAATTTTAGTTGTTGATGAAGAATAATGTGTAGATGCATATACCTTTTCGTCATGGAGATAACTTCTTTGCTCTTGATTTCAGATGATCCTTTTTCTTTCCATCACTACATATGTACTTAACACCCTAACCTTTACAGTGCTTCTTGTTTTGAAGGTTGATAAATCACGACCAAGAATGGTATATAGTATATACCCATGGAAGAGATAACTGAAACTCAGAAGAAGCAACTGGTAGTGCGATTGTTTGTGTTGGATATTTAACTCTGTATTATATAGACTTTAGTTGGTAGATACTGGAAGAGTTGCGAACGGATACGCTTCCCAGGACTTTTAAATGGTTTAGTTGATTCAATAAACTAAACAAAATGGTTTCGTCGATTCGATAAACTAAACAGAAGAGTGGCGGCAATTAAAATTTGGACGATGCACTTAATAATTTTCTAAAACCAATGCTTGAAAAAATAAAATCTAACATTTCGATTCCCATGTCCTAAACGCTGTCGTTTTTGTTGAGCGGGAACTTTTGCGAATTGAGCATTTACTGTTGCTTATTGCTATTTTATATTAGTGGATTTTGATTAAATATACATATAATACAATTAATCAACATGAACATATAAAATATGCTTCAAGTGTCCTGTTCTTTAAAATATTTTTTATTTTGTTAGCGATTAAAAAAGTCTTCTAGGACATTACCTTGAGTATATACTAGTTAGTATAATAAATAACTTCACTACTAGAAAAATATAAATATGGATTTTCGACCACTTAAAAGTGGTTAAAAATTTAGAGATTTTGATTATAAATGACTGTTTCAACCATTTATGGGATTTGCAAAGAGCTTTCACAAAAAATGAGTTATGTAAGAGGCTTGAATCCATTATCGGATGATGAAGTTCAATTGACAACAACACTCACGTGCCTGCCAAACTCAATTGTGTGACAAAAAACTCATAGAGGTCAACAACCTAGAAGTCAAATTTATAATGAAATGGACTTTGGTAGTCACCATAGTCGATGATGATATGTTTGGATGTCTGGTATAGCTTAGGGAAGCACATGTGTTTTTTTGTTCTCTCGGGATTGAGGGTTATAGCACGTAACATGCAATCACAAACAATTAGACACTAGTATAAGAAAATACATAAGAAGCTAAGCAAACAACAAGTTAGAGGCAACGATAATTAAACAAGATAGCACAAACACATATTAATTAACAAGATATAAACAAGATAGCACAAACACATATTAATTAAAGAAATATAATAGGACTCAAACTAGAGATTCTAGATGCTTCAACAACCTATGAGATTAGGGAGAACAAATGTCCAAGGAATCAAGCGTGAATGCACATAGGTATCATAGTCTAAAGCCACTTCCATGAGCAAATAAACAATGATTAGGACAAGGAATTGCCCCACTTTCGTGACGTATCAATTCCAAGTCCATCAAGCACACAAAGCATCTAAAGCCCCTGGCCAATTTCCCATATTTTCATAGGAACAAATCTGGTAAATTTATGCAAGGGGTGACTCAAATACTTGACCCAATTCACATTGTAGCCAAGAATTCTCCAAAAACATGTCAATGGATGTGTACATCAAACACCAACAAGATCTATTCACAATACTCTCATAAACACATGAACCCTAAGTTAGAATTCTACCCATTATGCATTAATCACAAATATAGGAATAAATACTTAATAAAAAATCTTTAAAGATAACTATCATGTAATTTACCGTACTAGTAATGACTATTTAAAATAAAAATCTTTAAACATAACTATCATGTAATTTACCGTACTAGTAATGACTAATTAACTGAAAATATAAAATGAAATGAATATTAATAGTTGACTGCAAAAAAAAAAAAAAAAAATGGTCCGTAATTAACTAATATGAAAAAAAATAAATGATTAGATCATTGCATTTTAATTAAAAATTGATGGAAACTAAAATTGGACGGAAATATTTCAATAATAATATTCTACATCATAAATAATAAAGACATACTTTAAACAATAATAAAGTTAAATTAAGAATGCAACGAAAATATTTCAATAATAATATTATATACATAATCAATTAAAACTCGAACGAAAATTAGGTAAAAATATTATTGCATATGATATTCTAATTGACTAATTGATTAAAAATAAAAATGAATAATTGACTGAAAATGAATATGATATTACTAACTGACTTAAAATATAAAAGAATCACTATTTGACTAATATTATACCATTATATATTTAATTCCACCCGAGTCACCCATCATGATGAACAAGATTATGTTGCTACTACCAATGTCATCTCCAAAGAGGTTTCAATAATGTGTACATACAATCATTGATATTTTTTTAAATGACAAATTTGCTATATATATAGACAAAAAATATATATATCTTCCATACAAATGAATTAAGATAGTAATTCATTCCTATAACTTAGTTGCTTGAGAATCAACACATTTGCCTAATTTATAAAAAAAATATTAAACAATGATAAATAAAATCTCCAAAATTACAGCACCGCATGCGTATATCTACACATTAGCTATTAATTTGAGCAATCATTTGCTCAAATTTAAGCAATGATAATTGATAACATCAAAACACATCAATAATTCATTTAGGTACAAAATGAAACAGAAATTAGGTAAAAATATCACTGCATATGATATTCTAATTAACTTTAAATAAAAAAGAATAATTGGCTGAAAATGGATCTGATATTACTAATTCATTTAAGATATAAAAGGATCGCTAATTAACTAATATTATACCATGATATATTTTCACCGAGTCACCCATCCTGATCGATTAAAGGTGTTAGCTCTAGACGTCTATAGAGATTGTGTTGCTACTACCAATGCCGTCTACAGAGAGGTTTCAATAATGTGTAAATAAAACCGTTGATATTATATTTTTTTAAATGAAAAAATTGCTATATATATAGACAAAAAAAAAATATCCTCCATACAAATGAATTCAGATAGCAATTCATTCATATAACTGAGTTGCTAGAGAACGAACACATTTATCTAATTTATAAAAAAATACTAAACAATGATAAATAAAATCTCCAAAGTTACAGCACTGCATGCATACATCTACACATTAACTATTAATTTGAGCAATTATTTCCTTAAATTCAAACAATATTTACTTAAATTCAAACAATGATAATATAAAAACACATAAATGATCCAACTCGTATATTCAATTGCACTATGTAATATTTGATGTTCTAATTTAAATAATTATATATCGATCCAAATATTATTAATATATTACAACAAATCTATTCCGTGCATCGTACGGACGCAAATACTAGTACTTAATAAAAAATCTTTAAACATAACTATCATGTAATTTACCGTACTAGTAATGACTATTTAAAATAAAAAATTATTTGTTCTTTTATTAAATAATATTTAACAAAAAATAAAAGAAATTGAAGTAATAAATAAACTGACATTGATGAATATTATAGCGAGCTTGTTGAGTTTTGCAGTCCTATTGTAAGAACTCGGTCTTAGCCTGGTTTGGGGTACCCTTCCTTTTCCCATAATAATGATAATACTAAATTCTTTTTAAAAAATTAAAGTAATAAAAAAATCAACTGTCTTTGAAACTAACGAATTCAAAATTAGCTTCTTTAAAATTAATTGTGAGAAGGCAAAATTGCCTTCTTTTTAAATTGAAAAAAATTGTGAGTGCAAAGAAGACAATACCGTACCATTACTTTTTTTTTTTTTTTTTTTCAACTCTAAACACATATACACGCTACACATAAACTTTTACATACTTATGCATAAAAAAGTCAAAGAAGTAATAGCAATTACCTTATTATGACAAAACGGTAGTTGCTTTATTACTTTTCACAAAAAAAAGTTTAGGGTTGTAAATCTGCACAATCTTGTCCTGCCGTTTTTAAATTTACACATTTTGGGTTATGTCTACAGGGCAGATATGTCATAGACCCGAGTTAAAATACACAATTCATATATTGAATGTTCAAAATTTACGTACTGAATGTTCATAATTTGAATTGTGAACAGTATGTAAATTGTGAACATTTAGTATATAAAATTGTGAATATTTAATATGTAAATTATGAAAATTCAATATATAAATAGTAAATTTATGGAATAAGGGTCAAATAAGCCATTGAACTACACACGAAGTTGCAATTAGGCCATCCAACTTAAAAAACCTACAATCAAGTCCCTGAACAATACAAAAAAATACAATTGAGTCTAAAGTGACTTGTTGACCTGAAATTCGCTGACATGGCAGTTAACAGATTAAAAAAATTAATTTTTAAAATTAATTTTAATACTTTTAATTAATTAAAAAAAAAAAAAAAAACTCCCTTCTTCTCCGCCTGCTCTTCTTCGTCTCCGGCGAAGACAAAGACAAGTTCAGTGAAACAGTGGCTTTGTGAGTTCGGTGAAAGGAAATGGTTTCGGTTTTGGATACAATGCCCAGATGGGTTCCGGGATCCCTTACAGGAGTACTGTGGTAATGCCGGAGAGTTTTTTGCCGTTGAATCGATCTCTATTTTGTGAGTCTGTCCAGGGGAAATGTCAGTCAATACTGAGAGTGGGCTTTTGTATAATCTCCCGCCGGAGGTTTCGAGAAAGCGAAGTAGAGAGGAGCAGTTTATTGCCTCCGCTGAAGATGTGGCGCCGCTCTTGCAGCAATATCAATTTGAAATTGATTGGATTGTTTGTATGTTTTTTTTTTTTTTTTTTTTTTTGTTGGATTGGGTTGTTCTGATCTTTGTTTTGTTTATCTATAGATGAGGAAATTGAGAATGAAATTGGAAGAGAGGCAGAAGCAAGAAGCCAGAATTTTGGTGGCCGCCATTGGAGAAGATGTTATGAAGAAAGTGAGGGAGAAAGACGAACAGATTCAGGGAAAGCTGAATTCGGAGACCAAGGTGAGTTTTTTTTTTTTTTTTTTTTTTTTTTTTTTTTTTTTTTTTTTTTTTAATATATAAATAAAATTTTAAAAATTAATTTTTTTTTACTCTGGTAACCGCCATGTCAGCGAATATCAGGTCAACAGGTCACTTTAGGTTCAATTGCATTTTTTTGTATTGTTCAGGGACCCGATTGTAGCTTTTTAAAGTTGGATGGCCCAATTGCAACTTCGTGTATAGTTCGATGGCCTATTTGACCCTTATTCCTAAATTTTTTAACCCGAGTTCACATTGTGAGGTGAACCCAGGTCCACAGAATAATTTGTCATCTATAGGCGAGGTGAGGAGAATAAAATCGCAAAATAAGTAATGGAATCATTCTGTGGATAACAACAGTAATTAGCTCAAGGGCAGAAATAATATCTCGACTTTTCTGAATCATCCTGCAGCTACGGTGATCCCTTCTTTTGTTGTCAAAAGGAATGGAAGAACGGATTCCCTTTCGGTTTGCCTGAATGCGCATGGCAGAAGTGGCGACACAAGCAAAACACTGCTCCAACTCAATTCTATACAGCTAGGCTGTCAATTAATACAAAACTAGATGGGATCCCTTCCAGACAATAGCAATGTCTTAAGACCTATTGGGAAGTCAGCAAGATCAAATGCATCAGAATATGTCATCTGGCACCATCTAAGCCTTCTAGCTGTTTTCATGTCTGTTAATTCTGTTAAGCTTGATCTGTTAGTCTTGTTAGACCCCCTCTTTCAGTTGTTCTTCCTCAACCTTTGTATATAAGTTTCAAATGTATCTCTTTACCAAATACAGTTGATAATAACAATACTTCTTTCCTTTCTTCTTCTGCTACATTTCATTATGTAAAATGGTATCAGAGCCCTCAGGATAAGAGCTCGATTCTGTTAAGCTTCAAATGGAGAATTGGCCTCCAGTCAACATCAATTCAGCAACACATCCTGTCGGAAATGCAACCAGAAATGCAGCTAGAACTTCAGCAATGAATCCAACAAGCAATGAGGCCAGAAATGCAGCCGGAAACACAGCCTCGACGAACAGATCTAGTTCGCAGGAGGTAACCTGCGATCCTCAATCACAATCTAATTCGTATTACTTACACATTAACGAGAATCCAGCACTGGAACTCGTTTCTTTCCCTTTGGATGGATCCAACTATCATGCCTGGGCTAGGGCCATGACAATGGCATTGTCCTGCAAGAATAAAGTGGCCTTCATTAATGGAATTATTAAGAAACCTCCCCAAGATGACCTAGAAAGATACTATGTCTGGGAGAGGTGCAATAATATAGTATGTGCGTGGATTGTTCGAACCCTCTCCCCAACCATTGGCAGAAGTGTCTTGTGGATAGACACTGCCTATGGAATTTGGGATGACTTGAAGAGACGATTCAGTCAACAAGATTTGTTTAGAGTTGCTGAGATCATGTGTGAGATATACCAGACAAAGCAGGGAAATGAGTCCCTGAATGAATACTTCACAAAACAAAAGTTGCTATGGGATCTGTATCTGTACCAATAAGTGTGAATGTGGAAAGAAATTGGAGGAAGAACAACTAAAAGAGGGAGTCTAACAAGACTAACAGATCAAGCTTAACAGAATTAACAGACATGAAAACAGCTAGAAGGCTTAGATGGTGCCAGATGGCATATTCTGATGCATTTGATCTTGCTGACTTCCCAATAAGTGTATCTGTATCTGTACCAATAAGTGTGAATGTGGAAAGAAATTGGATGAGGTAACTGAATAGGGAGAAAAGGACAAACTGTCTATCTTCCTAATAGGTCTACATGAGAGATACACTGCTGTTAGGAATCAAATTATGCTGATGAGACCTCTGCCTGATGTAAATGAAGCATATTCCATGATTGCTCAGCAAGAGAAACAGTTTCAGATGGTTGCTGGTTTTGGGAGCCAGCTACACCAAGCAGGAGACAATGCAAGTAGTGTTCTCTTGGCCAAAACCGAGGGAGGTTTCCAGCAAGGGTTCAAGAAGACACAAGCCTCAAACAAAAAACCTATGCGCGCATATTGTGGCTATACTGGCCACACACAAGATAAGTGTTATAGGAAACATGGTTACCCACCAGGTTGGAAGCCAAGGTCCAGGGGCTCAAGGCTCAGTAAACCAGGTTCAGGAAGCCTCTGCTAATCAGCAACCTAATAATGATGAAGGATTATCTTTCAACCAGAATGACTTTAAGAGGTTTATGGAGTTCATGCAGATGCAGAAATCTACCAACAATACACCTCTTGATCATATCCAACAAGCCTCAATTAACACTGTGGCAGTAGGACTCCAAAGTGAAGGTATGATCTCACTTAACTCTGTCAAGTGCAATAAAAATGAGTGGATAGTGGATAGTGGTGCTACTCACCACATTGTGTGTGATATAGACTTGTTGAACAATCAGAAGAAGGTCCAAAATCTACATGTATGCATGCCAAATGGGCAGAAGGCTGCTATCACCCTCATTGGAACAGTGTGCCTATCTGATGAGTTTATTTTGTATAATGTGTTGTATGTGCCTGGTTTCCACTACAATCTGATTTCTGTGGGAGTTTTTATCAAGGACTCCAAAGGTTCCATAGAGATAAACTCTAATCACTGTGTTATACAGGATGCTATCCATGGGAAAATGATTGGAAAAGCTGAGCTGCAAGCTGGATTGTACCATCTAGTTTTCCCTATTACTTCTATATGCAATTCTGTTTCTGTTCATGACAAATGTATTCTTTGGCACAATAGATTAGGACATGCTTCATGTTCTAAGATTCAGATCTTGAAACACTTGGAACCAACTATTCAATTTAATAAAGATTTCATTTGTGATTGTTGTCATTTTGCTAAACAAAAAAGGCTACCATTTCAATCTAGTGATTCTTTAGCTGCCAGTTGCTTTGAGTTATTGCACATGGACATCTGGGGTCCCTATAAGACAGCTACTATCCTTGGTCATCACTATTTCCTTACTATTTTGGATGATCACAGTAGGGCAGTGTGGGTATATATGATGAAAGCAAAATCTGAAACCAGAAACCTAATTGAAAGCTTCTGTAATCTAGTTGAGAATCAGTTTGAAACTAAAGTGAGGTGCATCAGGTCTGATAATGGCCTAGAATTCAATATGGCAGATTTCTTTACCAAGAAGGGGATTATACATCAAACTTCATGCAGCTACACTCCTCAATAGAACAGTAGGGTTGAAAGAAAGCATGGTCACCTACTGTCAACAGCTAGAGCCCTTAGATTTCAAGCCAATCTCCCTGAGTGTTTTTGGGGTGAGTGTATACTGCATGCTGTTCATATAATTAACAGGTTGCCCTCTGCTGCTATTGGCAACCAGATCCCTTACAAACTTCTACTCAAGAAGCTTCCTCAATATCAGAACTTGAAAGTTCTTGGCTGTCTAGCCTATGCAACCACAGTGGGTCCTAGAACAAAGTTTGAAACAAGGGCAAGGAAATATGTTTTTTTGGGATACTCTAATGGCACAAAAGGTTACAAATTATATGACCTTGCTACTCAAGAATATTTCTTGTCCAGGGATGTGGTGTTCTATGAAAGTGTTTTCCCTTTCCAGCAAAGCAATGGCCAAAAGGATACAATCTCCCAAATGATTCTACCCACACTGAGGGGTGACACAGTGGAATTGACTGCTGCTCCACAGCCCCAACCTCAGAATGATGTCCATGCTCCAGTTCAGACTCAGAATGATAATTATGCTCCAGTTCAGAGTCAGAATGACATATGTGATTTAGTTCAGGCTCCTGATCAATCATCTGAAAGCACACAAAGTCACACTCATCCTCCTCAGATTCCCCATCAGGCTGCTAGGAGGTCATCAAGGCAGAAAACTACTCCCACCTATCTACAAGATTATGTCTGCCATAACATAACAACAAGAACCTCCCCACATACCATGGACAAAACCATGGATTATACCAGGCTTGGTTCAGGTTTTCAGTCCTTTGTAATGAACATCACAGGACACACTGAACCTAGAAATTACAAGGAGGCTGTGCAGCATGAGTGTTGGAAAGAGGCTATGGATGAAGAAGTTAAAGCCCTGGAAAGGAACAAGACTTGGCAGATAGTGGACCTGCCACCTACAAAGAAACCTATTGGCTGCAAATGGGTGTACAAGATAAAACACAAGGCTGATGGCACCATTAAGAGGTATAAGGCAAGGCTGGTAGCAAAAGGGTACAATCAAATCCTTGGCATAGACTACCTTGACACCTTTAGTCCTGTTGCAAAAATGACAACCATCAGAACTTTATTGGCCATTGCAGCAGCTAAAGGATGGGATCTCCATCAGATGGATGTAAATAATGCCTTCCTCCATGGAGAACTGAATGAAGAAGTGTATATGCAGCTGCCACTTTGTAACACCCCGAAATTTTGAAACTTTTAAGACTTATGAAATAAAGGTAAATTCTCATTAAATCCCAAAACATAATATAATAGAGTATGGGGTGCTATGCCACACCTGAGCTAGAGAACTCAGGTGCACAGGCTAACTAACTAATATCCTCAATAATGTAAATACATGAGCATGGCACGCAGGCCGAAAGGGAAACTATCTACTCTACACTCCAAATCTCTAGCGCGCTCTAGTGTCTACTCCTCTGTGCCTGAAAGCCAAATATATCTGTTCAGCGAGAGATGCTGGTAACCCACTCCAACGCGTTGAAATACAATATAGGTATATATATAGATATAGATATAGGAAAACCATTTTGAAGCAGGAAGATATATACTTAGGAGACTCTAGCTTTAAAACCGGAGATAGACTCAGCAAATAGGGACAAACACATTAATCAATGATGAACGGTTAAGTAGAGATAACATCATAAGGAATACGCATCTAAGGTCACAGATCACTTTTCAATTCAAACACATCATCATTCAATCATCATTCATATCACATAATCATCGATGGCGCCACGGGACCAATCGCATGCCCCGAACATGAGGGTTAATGCCTATAGCATTAACACGGCCCCGCAGCACCCTACCTCAGTACCGCAGTACGAGGGGAGTTGATCTCAACCAACCCTTGGAGAACCGCTGACGAACTCAACGTCGGACCACGATCCGACACACCGCTGACGCGCCCAGTCGGTGGACCGTGATCCCCTTTACAAGGGGGGACTTACGACCCTACACACTGTTGGTGTGCACAATCGGCCGGCCGTAGCAGATCAAGCCCGACACACCGCTGAGCTAAACTCAGTCGGTGGGCAAAGATCCTCGGAGACTACGGTCCTGCATACCGATATCCCACCACTCGGTGGATCGCAGCCAGTCGTAGCCCTACACACCGCCTGATTACTCAGGTCGGTGGACTACAACCTTCCTCGGCTTGTTGGTCCCATACCGCCTGGCGCATCCCGGTCGGTGGGTTATATCACCGAGGCCCATGTGGACCTTCAGTCCTATACATAATCTTTATATACCTGACCGGTCTCTACCAGCCTGGTTAACAGTTGGGATGGTTCTCAACCCATTCAACTGTGGACCTCAGTCCTATATCATATCAATATCCCTGACCGATCTTAACCGGCCTAGTTAACAGTTGGGATGGTTCTCAGCCCATTCAACTGCCTGTATAGCCCAATTGGTCTTAACCAAGTTGGGGTCATGCATCACGTAACACACAATAGCACATAATGACACAGTGTTCACATAGGGAAGGGGGAACATATAATTAAGCTTACATGTGATCATTCACATTCTAAGAATAGTTCCTAAGGGCTCATATAACTTCCACCTAGGTCCACGGGTTACCAATTCAACTAGCATGCAATTCCTAAGACTCGTTTAACCTACGAATGGTACCCGAAATTCAAGACTAGACTCAGGCACGACAAACGGGGTCCGTTGGGACACCATGGGGAACGGGGAACATCAAACGGGGAAGCCGGGGACCCGGGGTGGGGTGTGGACCAGCGGGTAGCCGGTGGGTGGGGGTCACCCGCCGGCTGCCCGCCGGTGGGCGCTGTTTCGGGCAGCGGGTAGCCAGCGGGTAGCCGGCTGCCCGGTGGCTGCCCGCTGCCGGGCAGCGCCTCTTTGGGCAGCGGGTAGGTGGTGGGTTCCCCCACCCCCACCTACCCCCCACTGACTCATTCATCACAAATTCGTCCCGGGATCCTTTGTGGAACCCGAAACCATGCTTAGACACTTTTAAACGCAAATAACGACATCACATAAGCAATTAACGGATCAAAAGCAATAATCATGTAGGACTTATCCTATCATGACTTCTAAATATAAACAACACCCGAACATGCGAATTCCCACCCGAATATAAATCAATAACATCCTCAATACAAATTCCCAATCCAACCTAGGGCTCTAATCCCACCCAAATCATCAAGAACATATTTTATTCTTAATATCAAGAAAATATCAAGATTCGTCAAGAATCATCATATCATAATCAAGAACTTCTTTTTAACATCAAGGTCATCAAGATTCCCAAGAAAGCATATAAATCATCTTATCAATCATCAAGAACATAACATAATTATCATAGAAGAAATCAATCAAGACACAAGAATATAGAGGGAGGCCAAGGAATGAGATTATAGCGAAGAAAATAGGTTTTGTTGAGACATGGGTTACCTCTTAGCCTTAATTAATTTCCTTGGCTATGAAGGGTCTTTCTTTAAGATTTCTCCTTTCTTGATTTCTACTACGGGAGTTCTTGGAACTTTCTTGTGTGGTGAGGGATTATTTGTGGTGTGTGTTCTAGGTGCCTTCTATGTCCCTATTTATATAATTAAGAGTCCTAATTATGGTCTAAGTGGCATGGGTTTACTAATTCTATTCCTTATAGGACTAAGGGGTTGGCTTTAGGGATAAGGGCCCATGGACCACGGTGGACCATATTAATTAATTAAAGAGAATCCTAACCATAATCTGAATAGTAAAGGTATACTTTCCTTATTCCTAATAGACTTATGACTCTAGTTTAGGCAAGGGTCCATGATCCGTGGTGGACCACGTTAAATAATTAAAGGGATTTCTAATCAAATTAAATCCTTTTTAATTATTATTAATGGAATTAATTAAATAATTAATTCGGGATTAAGGGCCGTAACACGGGGTGTTACACACTTGGCTATACAAACGGAAAACCTGGACAGGTATGCAAACTTATCAAATCACTATATGGATTGAAATAGGAAAGCAGGCAGTGGAATACCAAACAGAGTGTTGCTTTACAGAACATGGGATTCAAGCAATCCAGAGCTGATAATTCTCTATTCACCATGGGTGATGGCCCTTCATTTGTCGCCCTATTAGTGTATGTTGATGACATAGTGGTTGCAAGTGCTGACTTGGAAAGTATTAAACAAGTGAAGATCCAGCTCAATGACAACTTCAAAATAAAGGACCTGGGATCCATGAGATATTTCCTAGGACTAGAAGTAGCTAGACAAAGAATGGGTATAGTTGTGTGTCAAAGAAAGTATGCTATGGAGTTACTTGATAGTACTTGTAAATTTAAATATAGACGATTGGATTTGGTAACGTTAAAACAGACGTTGTGACACAAATATTTATAACGCAGTTTCGGGCAAGCAGCCCTAATCTGCGAGGCACTTCTCAAATTGAGAATCTGCCTAAATCCACTAAAAGCTCAATATTCAAAGTACACTTTGTTTAGGGAACGGGGATTACACAATATGATTTCCTATCAAGCTATTGAGACCTAAACACTTGTACTACTTTTCAAAGGGGATTTGGGTATCTATCTTAATGACTCTCGTGCTCACAATTTGGTGCTGAAAGCGTATCTTGAAGAGTTGTGGAGCAGCTCCTTTTATAGGTCAAGAGATGCAGTATAGATAGGAATAGGATTGCTATTGCTATTTGGATTAGGAATATAATTCCTAAAACCTGTTTGAATTAATATTCCCTATTTGACTAGAATTTGACAATTTGTCTTATGTCAACAATTTCCCCCTTTGTCAAATTTTAGCAAAAACCTTGATCCATTTTGATTTATGGCTAGGGTTGACACGTGGGGGTGTCTCACCCCTTGATTGTGAATCTCCCCCTTAATTTGTGGGATCCTTCCTTTTGACCATTGTATTGTTATCTTCAGATAATATTTTGTTTGTAACTGTAGGAGGTCATTTTAGTGCATATGTCTGGTCCTTCAAAACATTTGTCTGTTGATTCTTCTAGTTGAGTCTGGCTGTAGTAGCAGAGCTATACAAAACATATGTTACAAGGGGGTCATGTCTGCTGTTTTCCTTGTACATGATACTTAACATTAGAGACATACAAAAGTAAGTTGTGAGCATAAAAGGTTGTGTTATGTTTGCAACAAAAAAAAAACTTGATGGCTTGTTGGTCCTGCCCTTTCCTGCTGGCTGCCTCTGCCTTTACTTTACTCCCCCTTTTTTACTAAAACGATTATCCCCTAATCTTCTGAGTCTGATGTTGAAACAGGTGTTTCAACACTTTTTCCTTGTGAATGCTCCTGAATATCTTCTTCTGTTCCTTGATTTTGTTCTTAGTCATCTTCATTTTCTGTTTCTTGAGAATGTTCTTGGAGGTCTTCTTCTGTTCCTTGCTCTTGATCTTCTTTATTTTCTGCTTTTAGAATTGCCAACCATTCTAGTATTTCTGCTTTTTCCTCTTTGATGTTCAGGTGTTTTCTTAGAAGCTGTTTTTCTGAATCTTCCAATTCTGTCAGTCTGCTTTCAAAGTAGTTAATTAGTGTTTTTGAATCAAGTGGGTTGTTCTTTGGAGATGAGGACTTTAGGTCATTTTGGTGGTTTCCCTTTCTTAGTTTCACTGATGGGTTGATGTTCTTGACAATGCTCTTTGGTCCTTGAGTTTTGAGGCCTTGTTTTGTCAAGATGGCAAAGATGAGGTTTGGAAAGATCAGGGAGGTATTGGATTTAGTGTCTTCTGCCAGATTTGTAACTTGAGTATGAATAATAGCACCCATGTTGATTTTCAATCCTTTTCCTATCTTGTACAGCAGTTCTGCTAAGGTCCATTTCACTGTGGATTCATGCAGTGAGGGCATCCAGTTTGCAAGTGCTATCTTTTGTAGGATGGCATATTTGCTTGTTAGAGAGGCTGCTTTGATTTTGTTCTTTTCGAAGGTAACATTGCCTGCTGTAAGTTCCTTGGCAACTTGTTCACTGTTTATTTCCATTTCTTGTTCAGTCTCAGGTGTTCCTAGATAGCTGTTGATTGTTTTTGGTGTAAACTCATAGAATTTTCCTCTCACATATACTTTCCCATACATAGGGCTGCTGTTTGTGGTGGTTTTGGTTAGGTTACAATAGAATTCCTGGATGATTTCTTCATCATAAGGTTCTATGTTGGTGACTATTCCTAGGAGGTGGTTTGAGATTACTGTTTCTTGAATCTGCTATGAGTTTTCAAGTTTGTCTGTGGCAAGCAATTTTTGGTTTATGATCTTTTTCTCCATAATTCTTTTCCATAAATTTCCAGACTCCTTGCTTAAAAAGGTTGTGCTGTGTGGTTTGGGTAGGTTTGACATGTCATCACTACTAGTCACCTTTTCTTTCCCCTTTTCTTTGGCAGTTGCCTTTTGTTTCCCTTTTGCCTTGGTAGACACTTTGGTAGATTGTGATTGTTTTCCTTTCTTATTGGCTTCTAGGTTGGTTCTCTTTTGGGCTCGGGTTCTTATTCTCTCACAGCCAGAGGACTCATTTTCCTCATTTGGTACCCAGTTTTGTTCATCCTCTGTTTTTTTGTTTCTTGTTTTCTTGAATTGTGCAGGTTTTGGTGGGATGTTTGGAGGTCTTTGAGGGGGTCCTGCACGTACTGGAAAATCACTTAGCCTTTTGGCCCTTGGGTCAGCCCCTTCATACGGGTCAAACATCTTCCTCTTTCTAGGGTTTTGTTGACCCGAGGGATTGAATTGGGGGTTTCATCGATTGTGGTTTGATCATCATTTGTAGGGCTTGAGGGACGGTTCACCTCGTGATTTTGAGGATCTTCATGTCCCTCATTTTCTGATTCCCTTGGATTTTCCTCTTCTACGGAGCTAACGTAGGAGCCCAGATTAGGTTCCCAGCCTCGATTTATGGCAAACCGGAGTTGTACCACTAAATCGTTTGGATCAACGATCCTATTGTCTCCGAAATCAGCCGCAATAGGCATGTGCATGGGGATTTCCTCATGGTCTGTTAGAGAGAAATTCGGGTTACTTGGTGGGTTGCTCTGTTCTTGGGGTTCGCTGAACGGTACTCTGGCTATTGGAACAGGGTTCATCGCGATGTTGGTGGGACTCTCTTCTTCGACACATATTGGGTTCGAAGACTCTCTAGTGCCGGTGTAGTTTGTAGTACTTTCAGTCGTTCCTCTTCGTGGTAACTTTCCCATCCTTTGATTTCTTGTTCTCACCATGGTTGCTGTTGTGTGAAGGTTGGGGATGAGTGAGAATTTCATAGGTGGATGTCGAGTGGAGTCGGGTAAGGGTGATGGTTCTGGGTTTTTTGAAATGGGGCTTTTGTCTGAGATGGGAATCCGGGTTTGGGCTTTTTGTGATGGGGCAGTGTATTGTAACAGACATGGGCCGGTTCTGATTGGTGGGTTTATTTGGTGGATTTGGCCCATGTGTTTTTGTTTGTTTGGTGTGGATTATAGAATACATAGGCCTATTTCGGCCCTTAGCTTTGTATATCTATTTCCTTCTAGTGCTTTGGTTAAAATATCTACTTGTTGTTTTTCTGTATTTATGTGAGTGAGACTGATGATTTCATCTTCTACTAATTCCCTTACGAAGTGATGCCTGATGTCAATGTGTTTTGTTCTTGAGTGTTGAACTGGATTTTTTGAAATGTCTATTGCGCTTTTATTGTCGCAGTGGATTGTCATGGTTGTTTGTTGTATTCCGTAGTCCTCTAGCATTTGTTTCATCCAAAGTAATTGTGTGCAACAATTGTCTGCTGCAATATATTCAGCCTCTGCTGTGGATAAGGAAATAGAGCTTTGTTTTTTGCTGATCCATGATACTAGGTTGGTGCCTAGGAAAAAACATCCACCTGACATACTTTTTCTGTCATCTATGTTACCTGCCCAGTTAGCATCACAATAGGCTGAGAAATGCTGATTGGTATCAAAAGAATACCATATTCCTAGGTCAGGTGTCCCTTTTACGTATTTAGTGATTCTTTTGACTGCTTTTAAGTGTTGCTCGGTTGGGTTGGCTTGGTATCTTGCACAGATTCCTACTGCAAAGCTTAGATCTGGTCTGCTAGCGGTTAGATATAGCAATCCTCCTATCATGCTTCGATATAGGGTTTGTTCAACTGGTTTTCCTTCTGAATCTCTTGATATTCTTTCTGTTGTTGGAACAGGTGTTCTGACAATTTTGCTTTCTTCTAGACCAAACCTTTTGACTAAGTTCTTGGCATATTTGCTTTGTGATACGAAGATTCCATTGTCTTGTTGTCTGATTTGTAGACCGAGAAAGTAATTTAATTCCCCTACCATGCTCATTTCAAATTCTCCTTCCATGTTTGTAATGAACTGGTCTTTGTAGGTTTTAAGTGTTGATCCAAAAACTATGTCATCAACATATATTTGAGCGATGACAATGTTTTGCCCATAATGTTTGACAAACAGGGTTTTATCTACACTTCCTCTCTTGTAGCCCTTTTTGATTAGAAAGTCGGTGAGCCGTTCATACCAGGCACGTGGTGCTTGTTTTAGGCCGTATAAGGCTTTATTGAGTTTAAACACATTTTGTGGATAGTGAGGGTCTTCAAATCCTTTTGGTTGTGCAACATAGACTTCTTCCTTTAAATATCCGTTTAAAAGGGCTGTTTTCACGTCCATTTGATATAACTTTATCTTGAGGATGCATGCTATTGCTATGAGGAGTCGAATTGACTCTATTCTGGCTACTGGGGCGAATGTTTCCTCGAAATCTGTTCCTTCGACTTGAGTGTATCCTTGTGCTACTAGTCGGGCTTTGTTTCGTATGATGTTTTCTTGTTCGTCTGTTTTATTTTTGTAAATCCATTTTGTCCCTATAATATTGGCATGTTCCGGTTTAGGGACTAACTGCCAGACATTGTGTCTTTCAAATTGCTGTAATTCTTCTTGCATGGCTTCTACCCAAAATTCATCTTTTAGGGCTTCCGTGATGTTTTTGGGTTCAATTTTTGAGGTGTAGCAATAGTCGTCGTCTCCTTCTTCCATTTTACGATAGTCTTGTTTCTTCCCTCTAGTTCTGATTCCTTCATTTAGTTCTCCTATGATGTTTTCTACTGGATGATTTTTCTGTACCCTTGTCTCATCAGTGTTGAGGGTTTCCTTGGTTTCTTTAGGTTCTTCAATTTCATCCTTTTCTGTTTTAGATTCCTGATTTTGCGGTGTTGGAACTATTGTTTCGACAACAGTTATTTCTTCATCACTGATGGGGAGGTCTTCTGATGTTGTATCATTGACCACAACATTTATAGATTCCATGACATTGTTTGTTCTAAGATTAAACACTCGATATGCCCTGCTGTTTGAGGAATACCCCAGAAAGATCCTTTCATCTCCTTTGATGTCGAATTTTCCCAATGGTTCTCTATCTTTTAGTATATAACATTTGCTGCCAAACACATGTGTGTGTTTTAGGTTTGGTGTTTTTCCTTTCCAGATTTGGTATGGTGTCATGTCGATTTCTTTCCGTATGAATACTCGATTATCAAGTAGCATGCTGTGTTAACTGCTTCTGCCCAGAATTTTGATGGAAGTCTTTTGTGATTTAAGAGCACCCTTGCCATATCTTGGATAGTTCGATTCTTTCATTCAACTACTCCATTTTGTTGGGGTGTTTTTGGTTCGAAAAACTCATGATGAATCCCATTTTCTGTGCAGTATTCCTTGAATTTTGAGTTCTCGAACTCTCTCCCATGATCACTTCTTAGGCGAATGATCTTTCCTATTCTTCCATCTTTTTCATTCTGAATTTTGATAATGAGAGTTTTGAATATTGTAAATGCTTCAGATTTTTCTCTAAGAAAATTTACCCATGTGAATCGTGAGTAGTCATCGACTGTTACATAAACATATCTCTTTCCTCCTATGCTTTCTGTCTGGGTTGGTCCAAATAGGTCCATGTGAAGTAGTTCTAGGATTTTAGTAGTATGTATTCCTGAGGTTTTCTTGTGGGTTGTTCGTGTTATTTTGTTTTCAAGGCATGCGTCACACTTTTTGTTTTCGTCTATGTCGAGTGCTGGTACTCCTCGGTAGACTCCCTTCTTTAAGCCCTTTTTTCATGTCATGAAAGTTTATGTGACCCATCCGTTGGTGCCACAATTGTGTTTGATTGACGGTTGTTTGTAAACAGGTTAGATCACCATCCCATGTGTAGCATTTATTTGTGGATTTTCTTCCGATCATAACACATTCTTGTTTTTGATTGAGGACATTGCAACTATTCTTCGAAAATTCTACTTTAAGTTCATCTTCACATAATTGACTTATGCTGATCAAGTTTGCTTTTAATCCCTGTACTAGGAATACTTTTGATAGTTTTGGTAGCCCATGTACGTTCAAGGTTCCCTTTGCAACAATTCTTCCTCTTCCTCCATCTCCAAAGGTAACATATCCTTCATTTTCATATTGTATTTTTGCTAAATTTTCTGGATTTCCAGTCATATGCCTGGAGCATCCGCTGTCAAAATACCATATATCTTGCTCTTTGTTTGTTTTGGAGGTATATGCAACATTTTGGTCTTTTCTTACCCAAACTTTCTTACTATTATTTCTGTTTTGTGTTGACCATACTCTGTTTTTTTTTTCCTGTAATAAAGATTGTTTTGTCTTTTGTAGCAGCGTGCTTTGATGTGTCCCAGTTTGTGACAATAGTAGCACCTTATCCTTCTTCGGTGTCGGAAGTGCTGTTGTGACATTTCCTGTGTCTCGGTTTGGTGATTTTCACTGGTGTCTGTGATTGGTGTCCTGGGTCTTTCGGTGAGCTCCTTGATTTCTTGTAGTAGTTTAGCTTCATTGTTTTTGAAGTCTGATAGTTCTTTTTGAGCTTCTTTGTATTGTTTCTCTATTCGTTCCTTTTCGTTTTTTAAATAATGATTATCTTCCATGAGTTCCAAATTTTTCTTGATGATTTGCTCCCACTTGGCATTTAGTTGAGTGTATGCCTCTAGTAACTCTTGCATGTCATCATTATTGTTGTCTTCATGGCTAGCAGTGAAAGCTACGAAGTTTGTGTTGCTGTCATCTTCTTCACTATCTGAGTCATCGCTCAGAGTTGTTATATATGTTTTATTTTTCCTTTTCAAGTATGTGGCACATTCTGATTGAATGAGTCCAAAGCCTTTGCATTCATAGCATTGTATTCCTTCTGTAATTGTATTATCTCTTCTCTTTGGATTGGATGGTTTTTGATTCGTGGAATTTCCTTGGTTGTTTGAGAAATTTTTATTCCTGGACTTGTTAAACTTTTTGAGAACTCGGTTAAAATTCTTTGTCAATAGGACAATTGACTGTTCCATGGTTTCTGAATCAGTTTCTGAGTTCTCTTCTTGTGTGGACTGTAATGCTATTCCTTTACCATTGTTTTTCTGACTTTGTAGCATCTCAAGTTCATAGGTTTGAAGATTTCCTATTAGGTCACTAAGCCTGTATGTATTCAGATCTTTATTTTCTTGAATAGCGGTGACTTTCATTTGGAATCTCCCAGGTAGTGAGCGTAGTACCTTTTTGACGATCCTATATTCGGGTATAGGTTCGCCTAGGTTGAATGCATCTCCGGATATACTTAAAACTCTGGTACTGAATTGGGTGATGTTTTCTTCCTCTTCCATTTTCAGGTTTTCAAATTCAGTTTGTATCATCTGAAGCTTAGATTGTCTTACAGTTGTATTTCCCTCATGATGATCGCACAATATACTCCATGCAATTTTGGCTATGTGAGTTGATGCAATTAGTTTAAAAGTGTCTTCGCTTACTGCTCCATATATTGCATTCATAGCCTTTGAGTTGAAGTCATATTCAGTTTTCTCTTCTTCACTCCAATCAACTCTAGGTTTTGCATTCCCTTTGTCATCGACTGGAGTTTTCCATTCGTTTTCTATTGCATTCCAGACGCCTTCTCCTTGTGCTAGAATGTATATCTGCATTCGAGCTTTCCAGTAGGAGAAGTTTGTGCCAAGTAGAGCCGGTGGTCTATTGTTTGAAAGATCTTCTCTTGGGAATTCCATTTGTATCCTGCTAGTAACTTGAGCAGACCTGCTCTGATACCAATTGTAAATTTAAATATAGACGATTGGATTTGGTAACGTTGAAACAGACGTTGTGACACAAATATTTATAACGCAGTTTCGGGCAAGCAGCCCTAATCTGCGAGGCACTTCTCAAATTGAGAATCTGCCTAAATCCACTAAAAGCTCAATATTCAAAGTACACTTTGTTTAGGGAACGGGGATTACACAATATGATTTCCTATCAAGCTATTGAGACCTAAACACTTGTATTACTTTTCAAAGGGGATTTGGGTATCTATCTCAATGACTCTCGTGCTCACAATTAGGTGCTGAAAGCGTATCTTGAAGAGTTGTGGAGCAACTCCTTTTATAGGTCAAGAGATGCAGTATAGATAGGAATAGGATTGCTATTCCTATTTGGATTAGGAATATAATTCCTAAAACCTGTTTGAATTAATATTCCCTATTTGACTAGAATTTGACAATTTGTCTTATGTCAACAGTACTGGTTTCACCAACTCCAAACTAGTGCATAGCCCCATTGTTCCCTCCCATAAGTTAAGCAAAGATGGAGGTGAACCTCTTGCAGACAATACTTAATACAGAAGGATAGTTGGCAAGCTCATATACTTGACCATCACAAGGCCTGACATCAGCTTTGCCACACAGCAACTATCCCAGTTTCTTGACACACCTACTGACCTACTTTTGCAGGCTGCCTATAGGGTCCTAAGGTATATCAAAGCTGCCCCAGGACAAGGGTTATTCTTCCCATCAAATACTGATCTACAGCTCAAGGCCTTTTCAGATGCTGACTGGGGTGCCTGTGTGGACACAAGAAGGTCTGTAACAGGATTTTGCATATTCTTGGGTCATGGATTGATATCATGGAAGTCCAAAATGCAACCTACAATCTCCAAATCATCTTCAGAGGCCGAGTATAGAGCCTTAGTAGCCACTTCTTGTGAACTTCAATGGTTGATCTACTTGCTCACATATTTGGGAATTGTTCACAGCACCTCTGCAGCCCTTTATTGTGACAGTAAGTCAGCAATTGCCATTGCTGAGAACCCAGTTTTTCATGAGAGAACTAAGCATATAGAGTTGGATTGTCACTTAGTCAGAGAAAAATTGAGCAAAGGAATCATAAAATTGCTTCATGTCACATCTGAAAATCAGCTGGCAGACCCTTTCACTAAAGCTCACTGTCCAGCATCCTTCACTAGCTATATATCCAAGCTTGGATTGATCAACTTATACAATCCAGCTTGCGGGGGAATATTGGGAATTCAGCAAGATCAAATGCATCAGAATATGCCATCTGGCACCATCTAAGCCTTCTAGCTGTTTTCATGTTTGTTAATTCTGTTAAGCTTGATCTGTTAGTCTTGTTAGACTCCCTCTTTCAGTTGTTCTTCCTCAGCCTTTGTATATAAGTTCCAAATGTATCTCTTTACCAAATACAGTTGATAATAACAATACTTCTTTCCTTTATTCTTCTGCTACATTTCATTCTGTAAAAAGACCAGTTGCTTCAGTTTTGAGAAATCACCATAATTGGCTTTCTATTTCTCCAGATTTCTTGACTCAACGACCAAGACTGTTCAGCTATTGAATCTTGTAGTTGGCTTCCACTTTCTGCCGTGGAAGGCAGTATTTTCTAGTTTGAGCTCCTTTAGCATGATCATCTCTCCAATTGCCCATGAGGGGAGATTAGTCCCACTCAACCTCAACTTCTTCAACCGTAAAAGAGACATAGGCTGCTCCAGATAGGTTACACTGCCCACTGGGATTATAACTGTAAGCTTCTCCAGCTTGGATAAATGCTTAACATAATCCAAGCTGATGATAATGGTGGGATTTCTGCAAGATTCTGGGGTGCTACCCATACTATGATCACATGCATCTTTATATATAGAAAACTTTCAGGTATTTTATGTTTGGGAAACTGTAATACACCTCTTTTGAGAAATGAATTGGACTCATCTAAGATAATGTTTGCAACTGCGGCTTCTTAACCATGGTTGGAGGGTTTGCCATAAAGAAACTGCCAAAGTTCAAGATGCCTTAAATGTGGCAACTTCCAAATTCTGGATGTCAAATGCCCAGTAGGTGTTCTAAGATGTGGTTCGACACCAGAAACAATAAGTGTTTGCAAATTATGATTATTTGACACTACATCATCTAAGCCTTCAAACCACTGTGGCACTGATAGGTATCTCAAAAGAACTAAATCCCCTAATTGCAATGGCACTCTTTGGAGGTTTCCAAGTGCGCATGCCCTCAAATCCACAATTCTTAATAGCTTGAAAAATATCAACTTTTCAAAATCTCCTTGAAAGAAGAAAAGAGAGCGAGAGATATTTGAACTAAAGAACGCGTAATAGTCCAACCTATGTGAGTATAAACTTAACCAACGCCATGAATTTGTAAACAAGTTTAATGACAATCCTGAGTATTGTTGAGTATTTACTGCACAAAGAAGGCCCTCTTTTTAGCTTCTCACTTATACAAAAGTCCCACAAGGACCTATGCATCCTGCAAACATTAGTCATCTTATGTTCCCATTTGCTGATTGAGACTAGACCATTACCAACAAGCACATCTAAATACTCGTAAGCTTTCTTTTCTAATTGCTTGTGTCCCAAGTTCCTCACAAATCCCTCAGCAATCCATATCCTAATAAGCCTTTTGACATCGATTTTGAAGAAGAGAATGAAGAAACCAAGTCTGCCTACTGTCAGTTAGTTATAACTGCTTTTCCCTCGTCTATTTAGCATGGCATATTCTCCTTCATGGCATAGTCTTTCAATACTTCTCATTGCATTCTATATCTCCTACCTTTCAATTTTGCCCCTCCCTATCTCTTCTCCCTTAATATTCAATCTCCCTCCAATTCTTCTTCATTTTCATTCTCTTCTTGGAATCAATACCCACTCAATGTGTTGCCTACATGATACTTAATCTATCACCCTTTAAACCACGCAACTATGCATAAAAATCATCCAAAATAAATACTAGCCTATCAAACTTGTCAATTGCTAATATGTATTATAATTTAGCACCAATTCAAATTCATATATAATGAGCATGCCAAAAATGAATACTAAAATTGTCTTCATCAGTCAATCAGTCATTATTTAAGAATGATATTTTTTTTACCTTTATGATCTACTCTCATGGTATCGTTTCACCTGCAAAAATATTTGTTGGGAAAAATCCCACATCTTGTGACAATGAAAAATCACAGAATCGACAGGAGCACAAACACAAGATTATACACAATAGCCAAAAAATAGATAACAAAGCAAGGGACACAAGATTTACGTGGAAACTCCAAAACCACGGGACCACCACCAACGAAAGTATTCACTATAATAAATCTTGGGTACAAAGTTTCTGGCTACCATACGAGCCAAACATCCAAAAAATATCATCACAATACATCAACTCTAGGCCAAAGGCATTCTTTAACATGCACAGGCTAAACAAGAATAATATCTCGTACTCAAAATATTCAACCATCACGAACAAGATGAAAGTGAATACAAATATTACGAGATTATCCAAAAAGATGCCTAGAACAAACAAGCTGATCTCTCAAAAGTATTTGATGAATAAAGCACCCAAGAAGCTGGCAAACCTCACGGAAAAATCACCAAACATGCGACAAAGGATGAAACTTGCCGAACAAGCTGTTGCCGAACTACCGAAGAAGACAAAGAAAGAAGCAAAAGAAATGATTTTCACTGCATTCTCTCACGTCTACACTGTTGCCCCACATCATCCCCTAATCTCTAACAACATATATATAATGGTAGGAAATGAAGCAAAAAGTTGGTTTACGTGCAGGCTAACATAATGAGAATTGAAGAAGGAAATTTGTTTTCTTCTTTTCACATGCTGCAACCGAAATGGAAATTTATGAAAGGAATTAATTCTTAACCTCTACACATGCATGCTTTAAAGAGCAAAGTGTCTCTTCTCCTGCCAACTTCCAGTATTCCCAATATATTATATTATTATATATAATAACAATAACAATAACAATAACAATAACAATAACAATAACAATAACAATAATAATAATAATAATAATAATAATAATAATAATAATAATAATTAGGGCTCAACAAAAAATATATAGTGGATAAAAATTGGATTGGTCCAAACATGAGTTATTTACCATATAGGAGGGAAGCTCATCCCAACAATATTAAACAATGCTAAATGGAAGACAAAGCCACATGTAGCTAGGTGTCACGGGGGGATTTTTCGACCCAAATTTTTCGCCCGTGCGGCCTGCCTTCGCCCAAGGCAATCAGCCTCACAACCCAAGTCACGGTCTGGATTGCACCCTTAACCCACGTTGGACAGAACTCGAAGGAAACGTTAGCCAAGCATAGTAAATACACGTGAGCCAAACACACAAGTATTCCAGTCAGAAGACCACATATATTAATCCCAAAGCCGAACTAATATACAAGACTCACCCGTCTCAAAACTCTCGCAACTAGTGCACCGCACGTGCACAGTTTCTCGCACAGGCCCCCGACCCAGAGTCACGGGCTGCTCAGGCCACACGCCTAGCAGTCCGCCCTCTCGGCCTCGCACTCCTAGCACTGCCCGTACAAAACTCGGCCACACGGCCTAACTCTCGTGTCTCAGCCTCACGGCCTCTCCCTACAACACGAGTTATCGATTCACAGGGAAGTGGTTGTATCAAGCACTAGTTACTAACTTATTCGTTAGAGCTAATCTTAACAATTACTTAGATGATTGATTGTCATAAAATAAATAAAATAAAACAGAGTTTCAGGATTTTGAAAACAATAAGAGAGAAGTTGAGATTCATGGGATTTAAGTATTTAATTACCTAGTGTCAAATCTTAAGGTCCATATTAAAATCTGGGTTTAACATGTGTGAGGATGCAAGGTGGTATAGAGCTACTCTCGTAGTCACTAACACTAGTGAATTTTCAATCCCGTGGCTTAAA